AGAGTTTAGCGAGAGTCTATTAAAATAAAAATCAGAGATCAGCCCTGAAAACTCTGGGAGCAGGAATAACCAGTAGAAAGTCAACAATTAAATGGGTACCCCTGGCTGTGATCTCAACCAAAAAGCACAAGCCAAAAAGTCAAGGCACAGGTTGACTGGCCTAGCAAAGAAGCTGCATCAACAGCAATAAAGAAGTTGCCTCCTAGTGAGCAAAGCTTATTCCCAGAAGAAAAGGTTCAAAATGGACTGGGTAAATACTAAAAAGCCACATTGTTTTCCTCAATACGTAGATAACATCAAACAGATACATTGACACCTAGCTGTTGGTTAAAATATTTCCCTTGCAAATTGTATAAAATCCTTACTGAGAACCTCAAAGTCTGGGCCTCTTTCCCAGAGCCATCTAAAGGCTGTCCCTGGGCTCTAGTCCTCAGTCTTAATTCTTTAATAAATTCACTTAACTTTTGCTTGCCTCAATTTATTTAAGCCAATAAAACAAAGTATAATTCAGCATATTTTGCCAGCTCAACCTGATCTGGGTCATTTTCTGTCTGAGGCTCTGGGAACTAAAACCAAAACTTTCCGTAGTTGATATGAATCAATCTTTGATTAAGACTTCTTATGTTTTATAGAGCTTCCATATGATCCAGCAATTCCACTCCTGCATATTTATCCAAAGGACACAGAAACATTAATTCCAAAGAGCACCTGCACCCCTGTGTTTGTAGCAGCACTATTTACAATAGCTAAGCTTTGGAAACAACCCAAATGCCCAAAAATAGAGGACTGGATCAAGAAGATGTGGTCCATATACACCATGGAATATTACTCAGCATTCAAAAAAAGATAAACACATGCAATTTGCGGCAACATAGATGGAGCTGAAAGGGATCATGCTCAGCGAAATAAGCCAGAAAAAATAAAAGTATCAGATGGTCTCACTCATAGCAGGAATCTAGAAAACTTAAATAAGGGACCAGGAAAAAGAATAACTATAAGAAAGAAAATATCAAAATCAACAAACAACTATGAACCAGAGACACAATATGGGGGGGTGGGAAGGAGAGATTGGGGTCAAAATAAGGGGGTTGCAATTGTATGGAGAATATAAAAATAAAATTAAAAAAAAAGACTCCTTATCTTTTCAGGAAATTGCAGTATTAACAATGAATCTCTGTGAAGAATAAACAATTCATTCCTTTCTCTTTTCACTAGCTGCTTTGTAATACTATACCTTTAAGTTTTAGTCTGCATTTTGACGTTAGTGTACCTGCTTGCAAACTATTCTCTTGATATCTGTATAATAAACCTTCACCAGTTACTGTTTTGGTGGTTTATTAATTTCTTTTGCCTATTTCTGAACTTTGGACATGTTTACACAGCAAATTTAAGGGCTTAAGTATGGGGAGAGATTCTTTGTGAATTTCTATTGGTAGAGTGTGATGAGTTTCAATTTTCTGCAAATCACACATTTACAGGAAGACTATTTCTCAATCCTTATCTGTCTTAAGTTTTGTTGTATTGAGGCCACAGGCATGAGATTTTCCGTTTTGTATCTTCCAATTCCATTTTAGATTGAAAATTTTTTCACAAAAACTGTTAAGTGTATCTTGACTAGATTTAAAATGAGAGGTAGAGAGCCAGGAGATAGAGTGGTATTGAAAATTCATGAATGGCAAGTATTGAGGATAGCAACCTTGAACAAATATAGTCAGTTATTCTAAAACCAATATGGGTTTATTTGGGGGAAAAAAAGCAAAAAAGGGCAGATTGGAAAGCTCATGTCTCATGGAGAGACCCGTTATATAACTTCCCTGAATCAAAAACCTGTGACCTCTTATATCTCCACTGGAGGACCACCTTCTTCCCCTGGGGAGGAAAAGCAGCATCACTTCCCATCAGAGATGTAAGGCATATTGAGACTTACAGTTTGTACATATGTTTTTAAAGATTTATTCGTTTTATGTATACAAGAACTGGGGTGTAGGAGGTGAGAGGATTCACCAGGGACAGAGTGGGGAGCAGAACAGACAGACTGAAATGCACTGCTGAGGGGAGCAGTGGGTGAGACAGGAGAGGTCTGCTGCACCATGTGGGTCAGCTCCCTGACCCAGGATTGAACTCAAGCTGCAATGGCAGCTAATAGCTTGACAGCACTGAGACTCAACCCTTTGGGCCACCGGGGAGGCCTGGAGACTTCAGTTTGATTTACATATGTGTGGACACACACTTCACTTAAATAATACTATGTCTATTTTTCACAAAGGTAAGAATTGTTTTGTAGGATGTTTGGCTTTGGCTATATATGTGTGTCTGTTCTGGGTTGGATCGTAGACTGTATTTCTCGCAGGGATCACAGTCAACATATCTTGAAAGCACTTGATATAAGATGGTTTAAATTCTAAACTGGAAATTGAAAAGTATCCCCACCATGAGGTAATTTACACCATGCCGCCTCTTTTTTTCCCCTTTGGTCCTTGAAAACTAACAACTTCTTTGTATTGGGAAAGCCAGTTCTATGATCCAGCAACCACTTTGTAGGAAAGACAGAGAGTAGTGGGGGTGGGTGAGTTATCACAACAAGGAGCTGGGAGAGACTGGACCATTGAGGACAGAGAGGCTCAGGAGGGCAGTAAGCCAGCCCCAATTCTGTCCTCTCTAAAATTCCTTGAGAATCAAAAAAGGGAAAGTTAAGGCCATATGCAATTAAGCAACAGGACCTAATTAAGTTCAAGTACTTTTTTTTTTTTTTAAATTATGTATTTTTTTTTAAGATTTATTTGTTTTTATTTATTTATACAAGCACTGGGTACAGTCCGAAGCGCGGGAGGGTGAGAGAATTCACCAGAGCCAGAGCAGGCAGAAGGACCAAGGTACACTGCTGAGGGGAGCAGCGGGCGGCAGGAGAGGTCTGCGTGCCATGTGGGACCCTCCTCCGGTGGCCGGGGAGCAGCCGGGGATCGAACCGGCGCCGCAGAGGCTGCGGGCAGCTTCGCAACCCAGCGCTCAACCGCTGAGCCACCAGGGAGGCCCAAGTTCAAGTACTTTGAAAAAGCATTGAGGAAGGAGGACCTAGAAATACTTTGGCAATGAAATGTTTTCCCATCATAGATTTGTCTCTTTGGAATTGGTGACTTGGGGAAAGATAAGGTTTTGTCTTATAAGTTCTTCTTGGGTTGCTTAAGGACCATAAAGTAAACAAGTATGTTAGTAAGAATAAAATTCACTAGAATTACTAGAATGTAATTGGACCAAATCTTACAGTGCTAGTAGTTAATGATTTATGATTTAGATCCATGAAAGCTGGATACAAATTGAGTGCCCTTATAGGGAAACTATTAGAGAAAATAATCAATAAATACAAGCTTAGAATGAGACTTAGATATAAAGCAAGCTTAAAATAAAATGCCCAGACCATTTCAGTGTCTTGAACACTATTTTGCACACAGGATTGCATTTATATATTTACATGTCTATCACCTCGCCGAGAATGTGTTCTGGGTATTCTGTATCCCTAACCTTGTACAGTTTCTAACACATGACCTAGTTTTTCTCCAGATGAGACCATGGGCCACCTGAATCAATGGATGTTTTGTTTTAACCCATAGATTTACTGTGTTTAAGTGTCCAGAGGTGAATTGCAATCTAAGATAATTACACACAGTGGGATTGGTAAGGCAGGTTAGAAAACTAGGTCTCCTGACATTACACACACCAACATGCTTGTCACCTACTGGCTGAACTTTTATTGGACAGCTACTCTGGAGACAGAGAGAAGAAGCACTTTAACAGCTAAAGGCAAAAACTATGGAGTTGGAAAGATTTGCTTTGAATTCACCTTACTCACCATATGAATTTCAGTAAATTTCCTTTCTAAGCCTATTTCCTCTTTTATGAAAGAAAAATAGCACCTACGTTATTAAGTTGATATAAATATTAAATAAGATAATGCATGTAAAATGCATTGCATAGTGCTTGGGATATAGTAGGTTCTTAATAAATGTTAGCTTTTTGGTTGTTTTTTTTTTTTTAAATAAAATTAATGAGCTCACATCCTAGGCAGAACTAAATTTCTTGGAAATAAGGAAAATTGGGAAGAGATTGTTTATCAGTTAGGTTTTGTTTAATAGCAAACCATTCTTAAATGTGGTGATGTAGCTTTTATTGACTAACAGTTTGGTGGGTTGGCAATTTGGGCTGAGCTCAGATGGTATCTGTTTTAGATTGTGTCATCTGGGCACACTTAGGTGTTCCCAGGGTCCTGGCAGTCAGTGGTCAGACCCAGAGATGGACAGAAGTGGTTGTGCACAGGCCATGTAGGTTTTTAATCTAGTAGACTTATCTGGGCACATTGCAGTGACTACAAGGTTTCCAAAAGCAAGAAGAGAGCAATCCCAAGAGCAAACAGGAGTCAAAGCTCTGTTTGTGTCCTTTTTGCTAGCCAAAGGGAGGTAAGTGGCCACACCCAGATCTAAGGGGCTTTAATGAATGGAGGGATGTGTATGCACACAGGATGAAAAGAATTTGCATCTATCTTTTTTATCTGCACAGAATGTGTTTTATTGACTGCTTACTCACAGGCTTTATGCCGAGTGATTTACATATTATTGCTTTAATCCTCACAACCATTTCCTGACATGATTAGATAAATTAAGACACTTGTACCCATTAAGCCTAAATTACTACCTTCAAGTTATGGAGGGACCTTTTATGGGCTGTCTTTGGTTGTTTAGAAGTTTGGTTCATGAGGCTGAAGGTGTGTGCTTTATTTAATAAAAATCAGTTTAAATTTTTTTTTCTTTTAAACAAATTTTTGTTTAAAAAATGTTTAAAATAGTCCAAAAGCTAATTTTACTTTCCCATTTATCCTTTGAACAGTTGGTTCATATAGTTATTGGCATAGAAAATATTAAAATTTTTACTATACATTCTACCCTTTAGAATTTTCCAGAAACGTGTGGGGAGTGTTTTAGTGTTTTGTTATTTGTTTGTTTTGCCAGGTCACTCACACAACCTGGATCTTGCTGCATTTTGGACATGACTGAGCCTCATCAATGGGCCAGATATCACTGGCAGCGGCTGACTCGTGGTACAAACAGGACTGATGATGAGAGACCATACAACTATTCTTCTTTGCTTGCCTGTGGGTGCAAGTCCTCTCAGACCCCCAGACTGGCAGGAAAGCACCGGGTTGTTGTTCCCCACCTCCGGCCCCTCAAGGATGAATATGAAAAGTTCTCTGGAACCTATGTGAATAATCGAATACGAACAACAAAGTATACACTTCTGAATTTCGTGCCAAGAAATTTATTTGAACAATTTCACAGGTACTCTTTTATTCTTCAAACAAAGTCTTAGAATGTGCATTGTCATTTTTGTTGATTTCTAAAAATTCTCATTTTCATAGCTATGTATGATACCTACGTCATTGTTGATGATTCTAGCAGTCTGTTGTGAAATTGTTAGGGGGAAAGGATGTCCTGAGCAAATTCCATACAGGCTTTGTGGATGCCACCCCTACGCCATCAAGACACTTGGAACTACAAATCCCATGATCCCCAGTTGCAAGGGCCTAAGGGTGGAGTTAAGCAGCCATTTTCTCTGTTTGTAAATAAAACCAGCCCTGTTAGTGGGGTCTTGGGCACTTGGCTTGTGCTTTCCACCAGGCAGGTTTGGTCTCGGTGGGTCATTTGTGATTCCAGGTCATCTGAACGGTTAGGATGCATTTAAGAATTTATCTCCCTCTTTTCTCCCTGAGTTTTACATTTCCTCATTTCTCTTTCCCTTGTAAATAAACCTTTGTTAACTTTTAGTGTGTGCCTGCAGTTTAAGTCCCCTTTAAGCGTGCAGGTGAGGACCCGTGGTCAGGCATCCTGTTTTATATTGGGGTTGCCCTGTAACAAAATGACAACCTCTTACATGCACCTAGCACTTTATAGTTGGCAAGATACTTCCTCTGAACCAGTTTTATGAGTTTAGACACTGAAGGAAATGCAGGTTTAAATGGTGCTTCTTTCCTCCTGAAGTTTGCTCCTTAGCTAGGGAAAGAAGATGTATAGACAAACCATGAAAAGTGGATGTGGTCAGGCTATAGAATGCTGCCAAGTAGAATAGAAGCCTCAGAAGGAGAAATAAGACTAGTAGCAGAAGCAATAGAAGTGGAAGAGGCACTTGCACTGAATTATGAAGAGATTTTTGGATGCAAGATGTCAGGAAAGCACATTTCAGATGAAAAAAGCAGTATGAATAAAAGCTTTAGAAAGGCAATAATAGCACAGATGATTTTTTTGAGACTGGCAAGTAATCTGTCTTCTCTGACTAACATAATTGGAGGTAAACTGAAGGTAGAGAGAATATTTAGGAGGATGCTTTATCTATCCTGGTGAATTGTAATGAACTTTGACCTCTTCATTGGGAATGAAAAGTAGAACTTATTTCACATACAGTGGATTTGATGTGGCAATTAGGTGAAGATGATGTGAATGAGTTGAACTGTGAAGATCAGGGTGATAAATAGAACTAATAAAAAATAATAAAAATATGGTTGACTGAAAGGTCATTTGATTTTATCCATGGTGAGGTTGAGATGCTCATGTGAGTATAAAGGCATTCGTTATTCCTTGACTCAACAGTGGATCTAGTTAAAGGATAAATGCAAATTTGTTGAATTAAAAGCTTTGAATACTAGAGGTGTTTGTGTCTTTTATGGAGTTTGCAATCTCGGTTAGTACACGTGATGGAATTAGAATGTGAAACTTGAACAACGTTCAGAGCAGCACTGTAGATTTGGATACATTCCACATGGAAATAGTGGAAGGCAAAGAAGTAGCAAAAATGGTTAGGAAAGAAATTTTAGGAGTCAAAGAAGTTGAAAGTGAGGGAGGAGAAGTAGTAGGTAGATTATTTGAAAGCTTGACAATAACAGGAAAAATACTTGATGAAAAAAAGGGGTTGTGCAGAGTTGAGATTTTCTTTTTTTAAGGAATGGGGCTGTTTGATTTTACCTTAAGGGTTTGTGGAAGAGCTATATATGAAAGAGAGGAATGGAGGGTGTTCCTGAAAAGGTGGTTCTGAACAGCATAATTGCAGAAATAGAAGTATTGGTCTCAAAGGGGGGAAAAAAACCCTCAGGCGTTTCTACTTATTTTGAATCTAATGTCTAGACATACAAATTAACTGGTGAAGCCTCAAGAGTAGCTATTTTTCAAAACGTATTTTTACAACACATTTATTGAATTTGGCCTGGTTTTTTTTTTTTAACTTTAAAAAAAGGAAATAGTATTTCCCGTTATGATCAACTTCATGTGTTATGCTGGTCAAAATTCACTTTCTAATATTTACTACTATATATTGAATAAATAATAATTCTCATTTATTAATATAAGTAGCCACAAGCTGGATGTGACAGGGGGAATAAATTGTTTATTCAGATTTGTTAGATTTAGCTAGTTCTCTATTCTGTAGCATCCAAAATCAATGTATAGGAACTGTATAGGAAAACCCTCTTAAGGTATTTTTGTCTTTTTTGCTTAAGGTCTTTATGTGATTTGTTAATACCTCCTTATGTGTGTTTGGGTTGCAGAGTCGCCAATTTATACTTTCTATTTCTGGTTGTCCTCAACTGGGTACCTTTGGTGGAAGCCTTCCAAAAGGAAATAACAATGTTGCCTCTGGTAGTGGTCCTTACAATTATTGCAATTAAAGATGGCTTAGAAGATTACAGAAAATACAAAATTGACAAACAGATCAACAATTTAATAACTAAAGTTTACAGTAGGTAAGTATAACAGGAGCTTTGATAGGAAATACTTGATCCATTTAGAAACATGCAGAATATTACTTTTTTTCCCATTAGTTGTGACCCTTTCTGTGATAGTGATGTTTTCAGCTCATACTTATTCAAGTTAAATTGTGAACTCAATTCAGGTGCCATAAGGAAACAAAAGTGTGCAATCCATTGTCAACCCAGGAGTTTTAGATAAAGCAAAACCTTCATGTATAAGTGGAATTAAACAAAGGAAACTTCAAACCATAAGAAAAGCGAACAGTTTTTAATCCTTGATGTTATAACTTGGGTTTAAAAAGAGGATGAGGGCCTCCCCAGTGGCGCAGCGGTTAAGCACTGGGATGAGAAGCTGCCCGCAGCCTCTGCGGCGCTGGTTTGATCCCCGGCCACCGGTGAGGGTCCCACTTGGCGCACAGACCTCTCCTGCTGTGCCTGCTGCTCCCCTCAGCAGTGTATTTCGTCACTCTACCTGTTTAACTCTCCGCTCCGGCTCTGGTGAATTCACTCACCCTCCTGCGCCTCTGACTGTACCCAGTGCTTGTATAAATAAATAAATAAATAAATAAATAAATAAATAAATAAATAAATCTTAAAAAAAAAAATAAATAAAAAGAGGATAGGCTATGAAAAACAAGAATGAATATAAAAAACAAGATGAGATAGGAAAAAGAGAAGCCAAGAGATCCCTATAGAGGAAAGGGATTGTGAAAAATGGAGGCTATTCATTTTGTGCATAAAACTAGAGGTCTGTAAAACTCTTTCCATTATGGCAACAATCAAGAGCTTCCATAATAGGAGGTCTTTCCAGGAACACATTTGCTGTCTGTGAGACTTGTATTTCTAGTATTTAGGAAATAGAAGCTTGTGTAGCTAAGAATAAAGTCAGTTAAGGTGTGTATAATGTAATATACTTTTATTACTTGCAACCCCTGGAATTTTACTCTTAGATGTAAATTAATGTCCAGTACATAGTATGACTTGGGTTTTCTTTACCTGCTGTCCCAACTGAAATATCTTTTAAAGTGATGCCAGTAATTTTTATGGACTCAAAATACATTGAACTGGTGGCCAAGTTAAGTAGATGAGGTAAATAGTTTGTGTAAAACTGCTTTAGCACAGTTTATATTGGTGTAGCTGTACCACTGTTTAAATTCAAAGATATGCAAATAGTTATCCAAAGAGAAAAAGTCTGGCATTAGCAAGTGACATTAGGTAACACAGATGATTTAGTACTTTTAGGACCCTGAATAAATCTTGTTGAAAATCCAGAATTTCACATGTTCCTTTTAAAAAATACTTATTTTGGCCTCCCCGGTGGCGCAGCGGTTGAGCGCTGGGTTACGAAGCTGCCCGCGGCCTCTGCGGCGCCGGTTCGATCCCCGGCTGCTCCCCGGCCACCGGAGGAGGGTCCCACATGGTGCGCAGACCTCTCCTGCCGCCCGCTGCTCCCCTCAGCAGTGTACTTCGGTCCTTCTGCCTGCTCTGCTCCCCGCTCTGGCTCTGGTGGATTCTCTCACCCTCCCGCGCTTCTGACTGTACCCAGTGCATGTGTAAACAGAAACAAACAAACAAAACAAATAAATAAAGAAATAAACATGCCTCTATAAAAAAAAAAAAAAAAAAAAAAATACTTATTTTAATAGTTTCTCTTAATTTTAAAGTTTACCTACTTTTAATATTTTTTAAAAATAGAAATAATACTTATTTAGAATACACAAAGGGAAGAACTACCTACCATGGTGGTATCCAGAAACAACTTTGACATCGTGGTGTATTTCTTCAAGATGTATGCACACGTGTGTGTGTGTATGTGCATTACAAAATTGAGAAGGTGCTTCTCATATTGTCTTTAATTCTTTTAGCCTAGCATTGCACCATTTACCATGTTTTTATCCTTTAAGAAAGTATTTTTTAATAGCTACATTAACTGCCATATGACTCTAAGGTATTTTTCTTATCTTATCCTAGAATCCTTTGTTTCTTCTTCACCCTTGCATTGCATATCCAATAGAGTACACAAATATTGCATTATCTTTACAATTTGCAGCCTGTCAAGTTACACAGATACTGATCTACCATCCTTTGACCATGTCGTGGACTGAGAGTTTGTGTTCTCCCCAAACTCAAGCCCTAACTCCCAGTGGGATGATATTTTGTAGGTGGGGCCTTTGGGAGGTAATTAGCTATAATGAAATCATAAGGCTGGAGCCCCTGTGATGCGATTTTTCTCCTTAGAAGAGGAAGGAAGAGACTAAAGCGCATTCTCTTTCTATCATGTAAAGACATAAAGTAAATATTTAATTATTTGTATTAAAGAAAGTAATATATTTAAATATATCCCTTTTTATATAACTTTGAAAATTTATGCTTTCATAAGTATTCCTATACAGAAAATTTGGAGAGCGAATAACTATTTCACCATTAATAGAAATGGAATGACTAGATCAAAGGGGAAGACTATATTTAAGTTCTTATTTGTGTGCCTTTTATGAAAATGAACTCCAAAGTTCATGATGCTAATTGTCTGGAGTGTCCTTTTCTAATATATATATATATATATATATATATATATATATATATATACACACACACACACACATATATATACATTTTTTAACGTCATCACTAGAACAGATTGGTAAAATTATAAATTGAGTGTCTCACAAATAAGTTTATGTTGACACCTTTTTTCATTTTAGAGGAAGAAAGATTGAAAGTTATTTTGAGGATAGTGAGTATATTCGTCTGGACAGAGGGCAATAACCATGTAAAGGGGCGGAAATGAGAAAAAAACAGTTAAAAAGGGAGTCTGCAGCCTCCTGTGGAGGGTCTTCATTATCTGGCTACTGCTTGGACATTGTATTAGTCAAGATTCTCCAGACAAATAGAACTAAAATGATTGAGATTTGTTTTAAGGAATTGGCTCTTGTAATTACGGAGACTAATAGGTCCCACATATCTACTAGTGTCTCAGGAAAACAGGTGGTGTAGTTCTGAAGGCCTGAGAGCTGGAGAACCAGTTAGTATAGATTCCAGTCTGAATATGAATGTCTGGGAACAGGTAATGGCACTAACAGAAGATCATGTCCCATCTTCAGAGGCCAATCAGGCAGAGAGCAAATTCAACCTTTTTCCACCTTTGTATTCTATTCAGGTTCTCAACAGGTTTGATGAGGCCCACACTATATATTGGAGAGGGTCATCTACTTTATTCACATCACCAATTTGAATGCTGATCTCATCCACACACAGCTCACAGACACACCCAGATATGATGTTTAACTAGATACTTGGGTATCCCATAGCCAGGTCAAGTTAACACATCTGATGAATCATCACAGATATTTCCTGTAGTGGTGGGGAGATCCGTCTTTTGGGCAGAGAAGTAATAAGGTAAAAGGTGTGCTTTAGGAATATTGGTCAACTCGATTTCTAGAACTAGCTCCCCAGTAGATCTGCCTCTATTAATCAACATGGGGCATTACTGGGAGTAAATGGAAAATACAGGAAGGGATTTATAGAAGAGATATTCTAAAGAAAAACTCAATTAAATTTGGTAAAATTTTATTACTATCATGCTTTGGAGGATAAAATACCACTGATAGAAACAATGAGCAACAGTTTCACCTTAGAATGAATTTGAAGTGATAGCAAGGTAGATTATCCAAGTGGAAAAAAAAAAGCCCATTGGGTGAATAGGAACATACTATAGAATTTCTGGAAGTAAGAAGCTACAGAGAAATTTTGAAGTCATCAGTCCTCTTACAGTTGATTTGCAATTTAGTCGTGACATAAATCCCCAGGGGAGAAAAATGTAAAGTTAAAAAGATGGAGCTGGAAGCCCAGAGGTAGGCACACCTCTTTCAGCCCTTGCACACACTGTCACTCTCTCTTCTGAGACTCCAGGGCATTTGGTACATTTCTTGGGTTGACTTGAATTCTCTTAAATAGACTCAGTTCATAAACCAGTACTAAATTTGTCAGACGAGAGATCTGGCCTATTCTAGTTAGCAAATTAGAAAAAAAAAAATTTAGTTTCAAAAGTCTAGTTTTATAATAAACAAGGGAATATTCTGAACAATTCAAAGTTCCTTTAACAAAGAGTTGAACCTGAATACATGATTTTGTTCTGCATTTTTTCCCCTGGGGAGAAAAGTAACTCAAAGACTTGCCCTGCTAGAATTATCTTCAGTTTTATGTCAGTCATAGAGAAAATAATTGGAAAGGCTTCTCTGAAGAAGTGAAATTTAAGCTGAGATGTATAGGATTCTGAATTTTATTGTTTTTTACTAATTCTTTAGTGGCTTTCTCAACATTTGTTCTAAGATCTATAAATATTTTTTTTCCTTTACAAGATGAATGCAAGCTGTACTTTAATAAGGAAAAAATAGTTTTATTTTTTCTTATACTCATGTTTAATAGTAAAGGAACCAGAAAAATTGATGTTTAAAATGAAGATAATAGTAAAAGCCCTTGCTGCTTATTTTAGAGCCTTGGAATATTTTACTAAATTAGCTCTATGAATAATTCAGTGGCATTTAAATACTTATATGTCAGGTAAAGAGAGGTGAAATATTGATATGGTTTCTGCCCTCAAAAAATAGCTGTAGGCAATAGTTTTTTACAATGATTTTTATGATGAATGAAGCCTAGTTAATAATGTGTGTTTATTTTTGTAGGTTCTAAAAAGTTCTAATCCTGATTCCCTCAGTTAATATCTTTGGCCAAATCAAACTAGTTAATCCCCAATTTCCTTCATTATGTTTATAATAGTATAAACTACTAAGCATCTTACCTAGACCTTCCTAAGTGCTTAAGTAAAGGTTAGTCATTATGATTATTATTGCAGGTTAATGATAACTATTAGCTAGAGTTTATGCTTGTCACCTTAGTGAGTCATTTAATCAGTATTTGAGAATTCTTTATTACGCTGTACAATCTTATAAATATTAAAGTTGCCAAATAGGAGGCCTGGTATATACTTTTTTCAGATGTCCTTTCAGACATAGTCTGGGTTGATTTTTAGATGTTTTGCATATAAATATAAAGATGAGATGTAGTTATTTATTTAATTAACTTCTACTATAAGCTATCACTTTATGGTTGCATTTCATAATACAATAGAATCAGATAACTCCATCTTTTTATCTATCTCCTTGCTGTTTGCTTTTGTTTGGTGGTGTGAAAGAAATAATGCTTATATCCTCCCCTCCTGCAATTGTTCTTGAAACAATTTAAGGATATAAAGAAATAAATATAGGCTGGAAGACCATGCCTTGTTAGTTGAAATTTACTAACAAATTAGTTGAAATACAAAGAAATCACTTTAGGAAACAAATTTCTCAGTAAATTAAGGTGAAAGTATTAGGCCATTAAATGTTGCAAGCTCTGGGAAGCATATTAGCATTTCTGTGCAGATCATTTAGTGCTTATTTGTAATATGTGGTCTTCACAGGATGTTTAATTTTATTTGGAAAGTGTCATTGGAAATTAACAAATGCTTATATAGAAATTAAACATTTAAGCCTAATTTATGTTTCAATTAAGCTACTATTATAAAGAACTGCACTTTTTTTTTTCAAAGATTTATTTATTTATTCATACAAGAACTGGGGTAGAGGCCAGAGGTGTGGAGGGTGAGAGGATTCACCAGAGACAGAGTGGGGAACAGAACAGGCAGACTGACTGAAATACACTGCAGAGGGGAGCAGCAGGCAAGACAGGAGAGGTCTGCTGCTCCATGTGGGTTTCTCCCTGGCTGGGGATCAAACTTGTGCTGCAGTGGCTGTGGACAGATTCATAGGTTGCGTCTTAAGCCCCCATGCCACCAAGGAGGCCCGAGAACTGGACTTTCTTAAGATTGTCTTTGAAATAGCAGCCAAGAGCTACCTGGTGGCACAAGGGGGTAAGTCTCAGCACTGTGAAGCTATCATTTTAGCCAGGGAGCTAACCCACATGGCACAGCAGACCTCTCCTGTCTCCCCTGCTGCTCCCCTCAGCAATGTATCTCAGTTTAGATCTGCCTGTTCTGCTCCCAACTCTGTCTCTGGTGAATCTGTTACAGGGCAGGGAGAGGCACAACCCAGGCCCCACAAACTTGCCTGCTCTAAATAGGTTCTGCCATCCGCCGCATCAACATAAAACATATGAGACTTTAATGGGAAGGAACTTTAATACAATTAGGAAACAATCCAGGAAAGGCAAAGAATATAGTTTCTAAATTAAACACCCAAAGTTACCTGTCCCCTTGTGGGTAAAAGTCCACCCAAGCAGGATTGGCCCAGAGCAAGGCCCCAAAGCCTGCCACAAGTCTAAAGCATCTTCCTGTGGGGACCCACAGAAAACGATCAGAAACAACCAGACAAGTCTGGAAGGAAAAGAGCAAAATCAAAATCAAGACAAAAACCGCCATTGTCACCTCCCCACAGGTCTCACCCACATCTGTGTCACCCAGTCCATGACCAAAAGGCAAGTATAGTTTCTTCATGTGTCTCTTGGATCCATGTGCCTCCTCCAGGTCTTCTTCTGGCTCTCCATCCTGCTTCCTTCCTCCCTCAGTCTCCTCTGCAGCTTCTCTTTCTCGCTCAGCTCCACCCTCCCTTGGATGGTGTAGGAAACCTGGAACCTCCCCCTTTCCTGGGGACCACCCTGTTACAAATCCTCTGGCTTACACCCCAGTTCTTGTATGCATAAATAAATAAATTTTAAAATAAAAAATAAAATAGCAGCCAACAGGGGTGGTGGGCTTTGGGTGGTTTGGTGGTGGATGCATTACAGTGGCAGTACCTGATGGGGGTATGCGTATATTAACTTAATAAAAAATAAATCTACTCATTAATTAAAAATAAATAAATAAAATAGCAGCCATTTGTGAAGTGTTAGGGTTTGTTTCAAGGATTACAGAAATGTGCCAAAAATGAAACTATTGATCATTCAACAAATTTTACTGTCTTCTGTGTTGTAGGCACTGAGAGATTTAGAGGTTTAAACTAAAAATAGTCTGATACCTGCTCTTGAGAATTTATATTGTTTTCTGTTCTTGAATAACAACTTGTTGATGTTAGGAGTTTCAAAGTACTTGCTAATATTAAGATTTTAGGGCTATCTCTTAAATCTATAGAATTTCATGATCGTTAAAATGAGATGAAATATCAGTGTTATCTAAGATAATTAACCTTATCTGTCACATTCTCCAAAGCAGTAGTTCTTGAAATTTACTTTCTAATACACAATGAAACCATGTTTTATGTGGTGATCATTAATGAGTGACTACAGCTGGGAGTTAGTCTATTTTGAGAGGTGGACTCTGGAGCTGTTTGCCTTGTGTCAAATTCCAGGGCTGTTTAGAATCTATGTTACCTTGAGAAGGTTACTTAAACTGTCAAAGCCACTTTGTTTTTTCCATCTGTAAAAGGGGGATCATAGTGCCTTTCTCGGTACCAACCACAGAACTATGATACAAAAATTAAATGAATTGATGAATAAAAATATTTGATAAATTTTAGCTACAACTGTGTCCAATGAATATTCTTTGCTTATTATAAAATTACTGTCAGTATTTTGCTAAAAGTACTGAACAATGAAAAAGAAACATTCATTCATAATTCCACTTTTTCTTTTTAAATGTGTTTTTTAAATTTTTTAAAAGATTTATTTATTTATGCATACAAGAGCTGGGGTACAGGCCAGAGATGCAGGGGGTGAGAGGATTCACCAGAGACAGAGTGGGGAACAGAACAGGCAGATTGATTGAAGTACACTGCTGCGGGGAGCAGCGGGCGAGTCAGGAGAGGTCTGCTGCACCATGTGGGTCTCCCTGGCCAGGGATCGAACTCGTGCTTCAGTGGCTGTAGACAGCTTCACAGGTTTCGTGTTAACCCCTTGCGCCAAATGAAGTCCACATTCTCCACAGTTCACTTGTACTCCTCTCCTTCCTCCAAACTCTCACCACAGTGGAATCACTGTTCATAATCCAGTGTGTATTGTCCCCAACTTTCTCCAGTGGAAAGCTGTTTGATACTGAAGTCTTACAGAAGCAGGATGGATCTAGAACTTTGCATGAAGAAAGGGATTGTGAGAGCAATAGCCTGATCAGTGAGAATATTAGAAAAGCACAAATAACCAAGTAGATGCAAGAAAATTAAGTTGTACATATGGACTCTAGGAGGAAAGACAGACTTACTAGTTTTAATTCTCAGTCAAGGAAATATAGACTATGGTGAGTCTACCAGAATTATGAATTTTCAAAACTATTCAATAAAGGTAGTAGCAAACAGTATCACTTAACTTGTTGTTTTCACACACCACACTCTTCCATTCCCTGTGTCTTCCATGTAATATTATGAGCACATGGACTGTGAGGAATGGATAGAGAGTTCTCTGAAAGCGAGTGATGTGTCTTGTACACTTCGGATCTGGCACCTGGCCACAGGACATTCACAGGAATTTCTCCAGATATTAATAGACCCATCAAATGTTAAATTTTTTTTTAAGAGTAAGGCAATGCCTCCTTTTTTTTTTTTTAAAGATCTATTTATTTATTTATTTATACAAGCACTGGGTACAGTCAGAAGCACGGGAGGGTGAGAATTCACCAGAGCCAGAGCGGGGAGCAGAACAGACAGACTGATGAAATACACTGCTAAGGGGAGCAGCAGGTGCGGCAGGAGAGGTCTGTGCACCATGTGGGACCCTCCCCAGTGGCCGGGGATCGAACCGGCGCTGCAGAAGCTGCGGGCAGCTTTGCAGCCCAGCGCTCAATCACTGTGCCACTGGGGAGGCCCTCAAATGTTAATTTTTATTTTGTTCCAGAATTTCACTCAAACAGCAATTGGTTCAAAATCTTACAGGAAATAAGAGCTGAGAAATCTGTTTTGGCAGCTTAGTAACTAAACTTTAAGGTACAGCAAGTTGTGGAATTTAGAGTTTACCAATACTCCAGCTTCTTTTTACCATTTAATAAACTGGAATTTACTATCATACTTTAAGCATATTTCAAATTACGTTAAAAAAGCATATTTCAAATTTACCCAAAAAAAGGTTCAGTTTTTGGCTTGATACTCTTTGAAACTTTTTTTTTTTTTTCAATTTTAGGAGAGAGAAAAAGTATGTGGACCGACGCTGGAAAGATGTGACAGTTGGAGACTTTATTCGCCTTTCCTGTAACGAGAGCATTCCTGCAGATATGGTCTTACTCTTTTCCACTGATCCAGATGGAATCTGTCACATTGAGACTTCTGGTCTTGATGGAGAGAGTAATTTAAAACAGCGGCAGGTGGTTCGAGGCTTTGCAGAGCAGGTAAGTAATGTGTCCTTAGTTGGCAACTCATTAACATTTTTTTTTTCAGAAGATGACTGATCTCATTTTCATAGGTATAGATAGATTTACCATTATAAAATAGAATCCCATTAAATAACTAGACATAAGACCTGAAACCACAAAATATATAGAAGGAAATATAGGCGAAACACTACATGACATGCACCTCAAAGACATCTTTACAGACACATCACCCAAAGCAGTGATAGTGAAGGCAAAGATAAACAGCTGGGACTACATCAAATTAAAGAGCTTCTGCACAGCAAAAGAGACAATAACCAAAACAAAGAGAAACCCTACTGACTGGGAGAAAATTTTTGCATACAACACTAATGATAAGGACTGATCACAAAAATCTACAAAGAGTTGATGAGACTCAAAAAAAAAAAAAACCAAAGAAAATAATCCAGTCAAAAAACGGGCAGAAGAACTAAAAAGAAACTTCTCCAAAGAGGAAATGCAAATGGCCAACAGACATATGAAAAAATGTTCAACATCACTTGTAATCAGGGAAATGCAAATCAAAACTACAATGAGATACCATCTCACACCAGTGAGAATGGCACAGATTAAAAAAACTAGCAACAACAAATGTTGGCGAGGGTGTGGAGAAAAAGGAACTGTCTTGCACTGCTGGTGGGAGTGCAAACTGGTCCAATCACTATAGAGAGCTGTGTGGCGATTTCTTGACTTACTGAAGATAGAGCTTCCATATGATCCAGCAACTCCACTCCTAGGTATTTACCCAAAGGACACAGAAACATTAATTCAAAAGGGCGCCTGCACCCCTATGTTTATAGCAGCACTATTTACAATAGCTAAGCTATGGAAACAACCGAAATGCCCCAAAATAGATGACTGGATCAAGAAGATGTGGTACATATACACAATGGACTGTTACTCAGCAATCAAAAAAGATAAACTCATGCAATTTGCAGCAACATGGCTAGAGTTGGAAGGGATCATGCTCAGCGAAATAACCCAGAAAGAAAAAGAAAAATACCAGATGGTCTCACTCATAGCAGGAGTGAGACCAATTCTAACCAATTTAGAATTCTAAACCAATTTAGAAAACGTAATCCAGGAAAAAGACTAATTGCAATAAAGAAAAAATCAAAATCAACAAGCAACTATAAACCAGAGACACACTACAGTGGGGGGCAGGGGGAGGAGAAGAGGGATTAGGGTAAGAAAAAGGGGGTGGGAATTGTATGGGGAATATAACCAAAATGAAAATGCATACATTATGCAAAAAAGAAAAATGATGTAAGAATTATAAAATAAAATTCATAAAAAAAAGAGATTGATATTTAGCTCATTTTCAATTTTTTAAAATAAAATTTGCTGGAATCAAATGTATACATGGTCAAGGTTTTTATATATAAACTTACATATACATACACATATACACATGCATATACACACACATCTCAATTACCTGTGTAATTGAAATACAACAACAGAAGAATTTTCAGCTTTTCATTGTGGTAAAAGAGTGTGCACTGTAAGAATAGCAACTTTTCTGCGGAGAGGACCGATGGATCCCAACATGGAATTCTCATCACCTTGAAATACTTACTGATGCTCTGGGATCATTCTGATCTCACTTATTTATTCATAATTATTCCTGCACTTCCATTCATTTGAGCAACTTGTGACATAAAGTTTGTGGCAAGAATACCTTAGTTTTATCTTTAGAATGGGTGAAAGGATAACCACTTAAATTTTAAGGGTTTAACCTTGAATTCAACTTGCTTTGTGATTTTAAAAATATTTATTTTTAGGACTCTGAGGTTGACCCCGAGAAATTTTCCAGTAAGATAGAATGTGAAAGTCCAAATAACGACCTCAACAGATTTCGAGGTTTCCTGTAAGTAGTAGATGATTTATCTTTGTGGGTGAAAGTGGAATTATGTATTGCAATTATATTTAACCCAGTAAAAATTTTGCATTGTTTTATTACTAAAGTTATGTCACTCAAGTTATTTGAGTCTTTGTAGAACTAGAAGCTGACAATAAATAGAAAATATTGGTAGTTAGAAACTCACTGTACCTTTTTCCTAGGCCAAAGCAGGTAATGCTGAAATAACAATAGGTGGGCCAAAGAGTTGAAACCTTTCCTATGAACAGCCTTATTTATTTCATCCTTATCTTTGCTATTTAAAAATGAATCTGGGGCCTCCCCGGTGGCGCAGCGGTTGAGCGCTGGGTTGCGAAGCTGCCCGCAACCTCTGCAGTGCCAGTTCGATCCCCGGCTTCTCCCCGGCCACGTGAGGAGGGCCTCTCATGGCGTGCAGACCTCTCCTGCCGCCCGCTGCTCCCCTCAGCAGTGTATTTTGTCAGTCTGCCTGTTCTGTTCCCTGCTTTGTCTCTGGTGAATTCTCTCACTCTCCCTCGCTTCTGACTGTACCCAGCGCTTGTATAAATAAATAAATAAATCTTTAAAAAAAATAAAATAAAATAAAAATGAATCTACATGCTCTTTCTTATAGAGAACATTCCAACAAAGAACGCGTGGGTCTCTGTAAAGAAAATTTATTACTTAGAGGATGCACCATTAGAAACACAGAGGCTGTCGTGGGCATTGTGGTTTATGCAGGTTGGTTACCCTTCTCACTTTCCCCCATTGTCTCCTCTGTGCTTTTCTACAAGTTAGTATTTTTCTTGTACTCAAAATGCAGTCTACAGAAGTAGAAAGGGAATTTTCAATAGACTTCATTATTGGTCTCTGCTTTTCTGAATGGATCACAAAGATAAACCAATTTGACAAAATATGTTATTTACCTACATTTAACTCAATTGTTTGCTATCTGGTTCTAATTTGCATATGCTCTGATGTTGTGTTTTCTATATAGGCCATGAAACGAAAGCCATGCTGAATAACAGCGGTCCCAGGTATAAGCGCAGTAAATTGGAAAGAAGAGCAAACACAGATGTCCTCTGGTGTGTCCTGCTTTTGGTTATCATGTGTTTAACGGGTGCATTGGGTAGGTAAACTTTGATTATTTGCTGACTTCTTTTCCTCAAGATTACCTTTTAAAAAGTACTTTAGAAACTATATTTGTGAATGTTTAACTTCTGTAAAATCAAATTTCTGGTTTTGTTTGCTGAGAATTTTTCCCCACACATCCTTCTGTCTCTCATTCTTTGACCTGAAAAATATTAAGGAGGTTGACTGGACCTGGTTACATATTGTCACGGCACTGACGGGACCTGGGAGACATTAAAAGAGACAGGAGATTGTGATAGCTTTTGATTTTGAATTTGTTTCCAAAAATAGTTGGTGTTCAACCAAAATAAGTAATATCATTCCTCTTCTTTAGGAAGAAAGTTCTATATTTGAGGTAATACATACATAGCATTCTTTTGATGTGTGGCTTTTTTTTTTTTTTTGAAAGGTCATGGAATCTGGTTGAGTAGATATGAGAACGTGCCCTTCTTTAATATCCCTGAGCCTGATGGACATGTCATATCACCAGGGTTGGCAGGATTCTATATGTTTTGGACTATGATCATTTTGTTACAGGTAATTTCTGTCAAGTTTATCATAGAATTTTAAGATTCTTGCTACTTACATAGCTTTGTTTAGTTCCTCATCCTTTATCCCCTTTAATGTTTTTAAAAATTATTCGATTCTTTTTAGGTCTTGATTCCCATTTCTCTCTATGTTTCCATTGAAATTGTGAAGCTTGGACAAATATATTTTATTCAAAGTGATGTGGATTTTTACAATGAGAAATTGGATTCTACTGTTCAGTGCCGGGCCCTGAATATTGCTGAGGATCTTGGACAGATTCAGTACCTCTTTTCTGATAAGACAGGAACCCTTACGGAGAATAAGATGGTTTTTCGAAGATGTAGCGTGGCAGGCTTTGATTACTGCCATGAAGAAAATGGTGAGTGCTGAGTTTCTAGGAAAACCAATCTTAACATTGGTCCTTTTTGCACTCATTTTAAAGGTTTGATAATTCTGGCATAGAAATGCTGTATTTAAGGATTGGGTACTTCATTCATCCAAATGGCCATCTAGCTTCATTGTTGTCTCTTCAAAAGTTAGTAGGTCAAAATCAAGCTGGCTACTTCCATGGTTTCTTTAAAAAGAAAGTAAATTGGGAGAAAGTAAAATGGTAGAATCTTTCATTTATACAAGTAACATGTTCCTATGAAGATTATTCTGAGAAGTGTCTGAAACAAATTAAAAACCCAACTTTACAGATTAATCACCTTCAATAATTTGATGATTACATAACCATCCATTTCTTTATGTATATTCCACTATATGTGAACATAGGCATTCACACATTTTTCTTTTTATGAGTTAGAACACATAATATTGTTTTGTGGTTTGCTTATTTTATTCAACAATGTCTTGTGTACTTTAATTCAGGTCATTTCATAAGTTAATATTAAGTGCATTGTATGTAGTCAAGCTTAGCTTGCTATGCTTAGTGGTGGTGGGTGGTATTGCCTTTGCTATTATAAATAGTACTTGCAATTAACATCACTTATTCATTAACAAATGTTTTGTGAGCTCCTAATATGTGATCTGTATCTCTAATCCTATGTAGTTTAGAATTTAGGGTGAGAAGATAAACAAATAAGACTAAAAATTATGATAGGTAAAAAAATCCATCATGCAGTATGCATATTTTGTCTTTATATTTGTGTGATTGTTTTTACAATATATTTCTAGAAGTGGACTTGATGGATCTATTCACATATAAAATTTCATAGATACTACAAAATTTGCCTCTAAAATATGCTAATTTATATTCTCACAACCCAGAAAAATAATGCTGCTTTTCCTACTCACCTGTATTAGCTTGAAGTTAATTCTTTTCAATTTGTGTGATTTTTGTAGACACATCACTTCATTTTCTTAATTTATCTCTGATTAGCAATAAGATGGTTAACTTTTTACATGGTTATTAGCCAATTGAATTCCCTTGATCAAGTGATCATGTGTCTTTCCTGTTATACAAATGGATTTTTCTTATTCTTAGTAATCTGTAGAAGGGTTTTACCTGTGAGAGCAGAGATAATGTTCAGTTTGTATACCCCTGACTGTGGCCAGTGTCCTTGTTCTCATTTGCGTTGAACCAGTTGGCAAATAATTTGAATATAACCTGATATTTTATGTGGCACCTATTTTCCTGATTCATCAGTTATCACTGTGTTAGTTTCCTGTTATTGCGTAACAAATTGCCACAAATTTTAGGGCTTAAAAAAACACAAATATGCTAAAAACAAAACAAAACAAAAATACCCACAAATATGCTGTCTCATGGCTTCCAAGGATCAGGAGTCTGGATATGGGATAGTTTTATCCACTCTCAGGGTCTCTTGCCAGGCTGAAATCTAGGTCTCAGCTGTGATTGGGTCTTATCTGAGGCTCAGGGCCCTCCTTTTAGCTCATTGTTTTTGGCAAAATACAGAGTCTTGAGATTAAGAGGTTGAGGTCCCTGCTTTTGTGCTGGATGTCAGCCCAGAGCCATTCTGAGCTCCTAGAGGTGAACTCACCATTCCCTCCCACACAACCTATTCACAGTGTGACAATTTGCTTCTCTTAAGGCCAGCAATAGAATCGCTAGCTTTCACTCTTCCTGACTTCTGGGAAGTTCTGACCTCTCTTTTTAAATGGCTTAGATAAAATCAAATTCAGAGTTAGTTCTTTGTATTAGCTGCTACTGTTGTTGTAATTACTGTTGTGAAAATAAGCTACAGACTTGTGTTTGGAGGAGCTCTTGATTAACATGGGAGACAGCTGTGGAAACATAAAAATACCTTAAGTGTTAAAAGATTAAACTTGGCATCCTTGTTCCATATTGTTTTGATTTTCAGTCAGCTTTGGAGGTGGATTTTGCAATGCTCAAGATTTGGGGCCTGGCAGGATATTAGACAGGAAATTCTTGGAATGCTGGAAATATATGGGGTATTAGTTTAGAACAAAAGGTTTGTTTTGCAAGGATACGTGGATGATCCAGTTAGAAGAAGCTCAGCTGAGTGTGTTGTTTACAAGTAGGTCAAAGTTGGCATACTGGAAATATTTGGGGGTCAGTTCATAGTAAAACATTAGGTGAAAACATGAGGATGATGCAATTGGAACAAGTTCTGTGCTGGCCACATTTAAATGAAGGGTTGAAAAATGTAATAAACTTGTTAGTCTCATTGTCACTTTTTCAAATCAATGCAAGTAGTAGGTCTGAACAAGTTACTGAATATTTGAAGAGGGAAATTGGAAGAGGAGACAGATTAGAGATTAAATAAGAAAAAAATAAGGTAGCTAACCTAGTATCTATTTTGAATCAAAGATAAGTTGCATATTTGCATATTTTCTCATGTGAGTCAAAAATCAAGAATTTCTGCCTTGCTTTAAGGCACTGTAGGGGCAGGACTGGCCACAGTGCAGGTTTTCTGATCCCATGCAGACCGGGTAAAGGAGGAGTCTGAGTCCTCAGTAGTTTTGCAGGTTTTTTATTTGGGGTTCACCAGGCATATGGCAGGCAGGGGAGGCCTGGCAGGCCTCCCAGCCCCCAGCAAGTCTTCACTCTATCTGGACTCTCTGGCGTTCGTTCTGCTGCTACTCGGCTGCTTCTCGGCTTCTGCTTCGACTTCTGCTGCTGCTGCTGCTGTTGGCGTCCCCCCGTGACGCCACCCTTAAAAAGCACAGTCTTAGCTCAGCTGAATCCCATCTACCTATGCCCACCCTATTCCAGGTGCCCGCCATCAGGCATGCATTCAGGACAAGGATCCATCATCTATCCTGATGGCGGAAGGGCAGAAAAGCCTGACATTTTCTTTACCCTACACTCCACCCCCTCAGGGTTTTCTGCCATACAGTCTATACATATATATACAATTTTCTAAGCAAACAAACAATGCAGCCATGGCCCACAAAAGCAAATACATCAAATATAACAAAATACAATATAACAAAATACAACAGAACACAAATAAGTCCAGGCAGGGCACCAACCTAGTGCAAAAGACAATTATTGGTACCAGCAGATGAGCCACCAAATCTGCTGCCGAAGGCACTGCTCATACGAGGGAGGGGAATCACTCACGGCATCTGCTATAACATACCAGGAGCCGTCAGGCTTCCTGGCCTTTGGCTGTAGTCTCGGCTACAAGGCACACACAGCATCCACCCCCAGGATGCACTAGCTCTGGGATTGGCAATTTTATTCTGTTGGGGGTAATCGCCAACCCTCAGGGTTTCTGTCTGCAGTCGCTCCAACACTCGGCCTTCACAGCCACCAGTGCGACTCACAGACCCCTGCACTCAGGCCAACCCACTGCACAAGCACATGGGTCGGGGATCAAAACTCTACATTCGGCTTGGGCTCCACCCCAAGCCACGTTCCCCACCCGTCCCCCAAGGACAGGTTCCTCAGCTCCTCACCCTCACTCAAGAATGAGCAGGGCATCACCCACAGGTGATTTTACGAGACTCACAGGGCTTCAGCATACCCAGGCTGCTTAACAGCCGCTTAGGGCTTCTCAACTTAGCATCAGTACCAGCTTTTGCCTTCTCAGTTGGCTTTTCTCCTCCACCTGGCTGCTGGGCATGCACAGGCTGCTTTTGGCCATCAAGGCCCACTGGCCACCCCCAGATTATCAAAAAAAAAAAAAAAAAAAAAACATGCCAAGGTCCTCCGCCTTCTGGCGGGATTGTCAGTCCAAGGTCATCAGTTCATCAGTCCATCAGTCCAAGTCCGTTAGCCTCTCCCTGCATCAGCACTGGCGAGCTCTGAATCATGGTCCACTTTTCGCCGATGATTCTGCTGCCTCAGGGGTCATTGGCTGGTCCTCTTGGGCATCTCCTCCTCCATGTGAGGTCTTGTCCCACAGCTCCCGAACTGTATCCACCTTCTGTGCCTCCATGGCGCCTCCAGTGTCGTCACAGGCAAAGTCTGTTCTCCTTAATCCCTCCAGGTCTTCGGAGGGCTCCAATACCCATCTACATGGATCTTGCCGACTTATGCCAATTGTAGGGGCAGGACTGGCCACAGGGCAGGTTTTCTGATCCCATGCAGACCGGGTAAAGGAGGAGTCTGAGTCCTCAGTAGTTTTGAAGGTTTTTTATTTGGGGTTCACCAGGCATATGGCAGGCAGGGGTGCTGGCTGTGGGGCTGGGAGGCCTGCCAGCCCCCAGCAAGTCTTCACTCTATCTGGACTCTCTGGCGTTCGTTCTGCTGCTTCTCGGCTTCTGCTTCGGCTTCTGCTGCTGCTGCTGCTGCTGCTGCTGCTGCTGCTGCTGCTGCTGCTGCTGCTGCTGCTGCTGCTGCTGCTGCTGCTGCTGCTGCTGCTGCTGCTGCTGCTGCTGCTGTCGGCGTCTCCCCGTGATGCCGCCCTTAAAAGCACAGTCTTAGCTCAGCTGAATCCCATCTACCTATGCCCACACCCTATTCCAGGTGCCCGCCATCAGGCATGCATTCAGGACAAGGATCCATCATCTATCCTGATGGCGGAAGGGCAGAAAAGCCTGACATTTTCTTTACCCTACAGGCACCATGGAACAAATTAGAACCTATTTAAAGAGCCATGAGATGTCTTCATTTTTATTTGGATAGATTTTGTTTATCTGTATGATAATAAACCTTTGCATCTCATACTCAATTTTGGAAAAATTTTCATTTGAACCTAGAAGTATTTCTTAGTAGCTTTGCTTTCTGAATCACAGTATGACTTTACTAGTTTGTGTACTTCTCATAGTTTTCCACAAAATAATTAGATGTCTTCTTGATTCTACTCTTGCAGTTCTATACATTGAGCAAGTTTGTCCAAATAGCTGAGCTATCTGGCACTACACTAATTATACAATTGCATGATGACTGATTTTCATAATGATGGGTCGGAGAAAATCCTAAAGTATAGCCTTCATGTTTATATATTTTGTATAGTACTCTGTTTACTTAGGAATGGTATCATATAATCAGAATTTCTTTAGCTACTGTAGGGTAAAGAAAATATCAGGCTTTTCTGCCCTTCCACCATCAGGATAGATGATGGATCCTTGTCCTGAATGCATGCCTGATGGCGGGCACCTGGAGTAGGGTGTGGGCATAGGTAGATGGGATTCAGCTGAGCTAAGACTGTGCTTTTAAGGGCGGCGTCACGGGGGGGGACGCCAGCAGCCCCAGCCAGCAGCAGCAGAACTTGAAGGAGAAGCCGACGCAGAAGCAGAGAACGCCAGATAGCCCAGATAGAGTAAAGACTTGCTGGGGGCTGGGAGGCCTGCCAGCCTCCCAGCCCCCCAGCCAGCACCCCTGCCTGCCATATGCCTGGTGAACCCCAATAAAAGACCTGCAAAACCACTGAGGACTCTGACTCCTCCTTTACCCGGTCTGCATGGGATCAGAGAACCTGCACCTGTGCCATGTCCTGCCTTTACAATTGGCGTAAGTCGGCAAGATCCATGCAGACGGGTATTGGAGCCCTCCGAAGACCTGGAGGCACTAAGGAGAACAGACTGTTTGCCTGTGATGACGCTGGAGGCGCCATGGCGGCACAGAAGGTGGATTCGGTCCGGACCTGTGGGACGAGACCTCGCATGGAGGAGATGCCCGAGAGGACCAGCCAACGACACCGGAAAGGACCAGCCAACGACACCGGAAAGGACCAGGCAACGACACCGGAAAGGACCAGGCAACGATACTGGAAAGGACCAGCCAATGACCCCTGAGGCAGCAGGCCGCTGCTGACGCAGGGAGAGGCCAATGGACATGGACTGATAAACCTGGACTGACAATCCTGCCAGAAGGCGGAGGACCTTGGCAGGTTATGTTTTTTTTGAGAATCTGGGGGTGGCCAGTGGGCCTAGATGGCCAAAAGCAGCCTGTTATGCCCAGCAGCCAGGTGGAGGAGAAAAGCCAACTAAGAAAGCAAAAGCTGGTGCTGATGCTAAGTTGAGAAGCCCTGAGTGGCTGTTAAGCAGCCTTAGTATGCTGAAGACCTGTGAGTCTCGTAAAATCACCTGTGGGTGATGCCCTGCTCATTCTTGAGTGAGGGTGAGGAGCTGAGGAACCTGTCCTTGGGGGACGAGTGGGGAACGTGGCTTGGGGTGGAGCCCAAGCCGAATGCAGAGTTTGGATCCCTGACCCATGTGCCTGTGCAGTGGGTTGGCTTGAGTGCAGGGGTCTGCGAGTCGCATGGGTGGCCATGAAGGCCGAGTGTTGGAGCGACTGCAGACAGAAACCCTAAGGGTTGGCGATTACCCCCAACAGAATAAAATTGCCAATCCCAGAGCTAGTGCATCCTGGGGGTGGATGCTGTGTGCGCCTTGTAGCCGAGACTACAGCCAGAGAAGGCCAGGAAGCCTGACGGCTCCTGGTATGTTATAGTAGATGCCGTGAGTGATTCCCCTCCCTCGTATGAGCAGTGCCTTCGGCAGCAGATTTGGTGGCTCATCTGCTGGTACCAATAATTGTCTTTTGCACTTGGTTGGTGCCCTGCCTGGACTTATTTGTGTTCTGTTGTATTTTGTTATATTGTATTTTGTTATATTTGATGTATTTGCTTTTGTGGGCCATGGCTGCATTGTTTGTTTGCTTAGAAAATTGTATATGTATGTATAGACTGTATGGCAGAAAACCCTGAGGGGGTGGACTGTAGGGTAAAGAAAATATCAGGCTTTTCTGCCCTTCCACCATCAGGATAGATGATGGATCCTTGTCCTGAATGCATGCCTGATGGCGGGCACCTGGAGTAGGGTGTGGGCATAGGTAGATGGGATTCAGCTGAGCTAAGACTGTGCTTTTAAGGGCGGCGTCACGGGGGGGACGCCAGCAGCCCCAGCCAGCAGCAGCAGAACTTGAAGGAGAAGCCGACGCAGAAGCAGAGAACGCCAGATAGCCCAGATAGAGTAAAGACTTGCTGGGGGCTGGGAGGCCTGCCAGCCTCCCAGCCCCCCAGCCAGCACCCCTGCCTGCCATATGCCTGGTGAACCCCAATAAAAGACCTGCAAAACCACTGAGGACTCTGACTCCTCCTTTACCCGGTCTGCATGGGATCAGAGAACCTGCACCTGTGCCATGTCCTGCCTTTACAGCTACTCAAGGATTTATCATCCTCAGCATTGCTGACATTTTGGGCTGGATTACTCTTTGTTGTGTGGATCTATTTTGTGCGTTATAAGATGTTTAGAAACATCTTTGTCTCTGGCACTGAATGCCAGTAGTATTCCTCCCAAGTTACAACAACCCAAAGTATGCACAGGCATTGCCAAATGTTCCCAGGGGGGCACATTCACCCCTGCTGAGAACCATGGAACACCTCTATTATATGCAAGTAACTTCTACAGAGATACAATGTTGTGGATACACATACTAGCTTTGGAGTCATAAACTAGGTGTTTAACCATTTTCAAAGTACCTAGTCTCTCTGGAACCTAGTCTCAGATACAGAGTAGAACAGTGATAGTTCCTACCTGAAAGCATTATTTTTCAGTAAAAAGAGACTATAAAGATATTGATATAGATATTTACGTAAAGGACCTAGCCAGGTGCCTGCTGAAAAGGTGGTACTCCATAAATGTAAACCCCTACCCCCAACTTAGCCTTGAATATATGTGTAGAGGCAGGACTGACACAGGGCTGGTTTTCTGATCCAGCAGACCGGGTAAAGGGGGATTCCTGGAACCCTCAGTGGCTTTTGCGGGTTTTTTGTATTTAAATTTACCAGGCACATGGCAGGCAGGGGTGCTGGGGGGCCAGGAGGCTGGCAGTCCTCCCAGCCCCCAGCAAATCTTCACTCTATCTGGACTCTCTCAGGCGTTCTCTCTGCTTCTCTTCTTCTCTCGGCTTCTGCTGGCGTCCCCGTGACGCCGCCCTTATAAACTCAGTTTCTCAGTCCAGGAGTACCCACTTCAGGTGCCCGCCATCAGGCATGCATTCAGGACCACAGGGTTCCCTCATCTATCCTAATGGCAGGAGGGCAGAAAAGCCTGATACTTTTTACCTTACCCTACAATATGTCTATTAATTAATTTCTTCATTATTCATTTAGTAAATATTTAAACTATACAACATGGACTCATATTTCAAACAGAAGATATTGACCATGTAAAATGACAGGGAATAACGCATGTTAACATTACATATGGCTGTGTTTAGAAACAAAATAGAATTAGGACTCCAAGCACTGACTGTGGAGTTGAAGAAAACTGTAGGAGGGGAAAAATTATTTAGTTTTGATTTCTTACTAAGTGGCTAGACTTGGCCTAAATAGAGACAACTTAGAAATACATTAAGCACACGTATGTTGATTGTCTACTCTGTGTTCCAAAAAGTGGATATCTGATAGATAAATAAGACAGATAAGGTCCTTGCTCCCACAGAGCTTCTATTGGAGGAAATAGTTACAAATAATTTTAAATCAAGAAAATATTATAGAATGAAAAGTGTTTTGCAGATAATTACAATGGGATGATATGGTATAGAGTGATTAGAAGGCTACTTAGAGTCGGATAGTTGGGCATAATCCTCTCTAAGGAAGACATTAGTAATAGCCTAGATTAGAATGAAGTTGTCTTGAAGTTTAGGGATAGCTGGTAGAGCTCTCACACTGAAATGTTTTGACAATTTTCAAAGTAAAGATCAGAGAGGCTGGATTTTGTTGGAAGCCTGAAAGAGCAGGGGGCAAGAAAGAGAGATCAATAGAGGTCAGATTGTTTTGAGTTATGTAAGTCAGGATAAGGATTTCACATTTTATTCTAAGTTGTGAAGACTTAGATTTTATTGTGATTGTGAAGCCCCTGCAGAGTTTTGTCCAGGGAGTGATCTTCTCTGCTTTGTCTTTTAGGAAGATCTCTCTAGCTACTGTTTCAGGAATGGATTTCAGAGGGTAAGGAGATCAGTTTTGAGGCTAATGCACTGGTCCAGTTGTGAGATGATGGTGGCTTGAACTAAGGTAATGGAGATGGAGAGAAGTTGAGATATTTGGAATATATGAGAATAGAAGAGTGCAGGAGAAAATAAGAAGGAACAGCTGTTGAAGTAGGAGTAGAAACTGCTACACGTGGTTTCACGAAAGAGCCCTTTCAAGGAAAGAATGGCCAACTCTGTAGAATATTGCCAAGCATTCAAACAATATTTGGACGCATATTATCCTTGGATGTGGTAACCTAGAGCTCATTGGCTAACTTGACAAGAGCAGTGTCAGTAAATACATGGGGTTGAAATCCATGAGATTAATTGAGGAGCAATCGAGATAGATGCAAGAGTGGAGAGCTATAGGGGTGACAACCTTGAGAAGACTGGAAGGAGTGGGATCCAGATCCCACTGGGATCCAGGTCCCATTTGGAGGGTTTGGTTTTTGAAGCTTTAGCAGTAGGAGGCAGAAAAAGTGTGGGTACAGCTATAGATAGGCTGGTTTGATGGTGGGAAAACAAGGAAGTTCCTATCTAATTGCTTCTACTTTTCTCAGTGAGGTAAGTTCACTAAGAATTTAAGACGAAGGGAGTTGGAGACTAGGTTTGAAAGGGGAAGAGATGGTATGAAATGGCTGCTTAAGAAAATGCCTGACATATTAAATATGCAGTGGTTCTTCTCAGATAATAATCCAGTGTGACTTTTATCTCTTATTTTTATTAGCCAAGAGGTTAGAGTCCTATCAGGAAGTTATCTCCGAAGATGAAGATCTTGCAGAGGCTCCCAGTGGTTCCCTCAGCAATGTGGCAAAACTAAAGGCCTCCAACTGCAGGACAGTTCATAATGGGCCTTTGGGAAGTAAATCCTCAAATTATCTTGCTGGGAGCTGTTTTGCTCTAGGAAGTGGAGAAGGAGCCAGTGAAGTGCCTCATTCCAGACAGGCTGCTTTCAGTAGCCCCATTGTAAGTGTGAATGCGTGACTTGAATCTTGCACTTCTATAGTGAATAATGAAAGAACATCCTTGTAATTATGATAGAGCCAAATACTGTTGTCTTTTCTACTTGAGAGGAGACTACCAAATGACAGTTCAGTGTGATTTTCACGTATAATAAGAAGCATAAACAAAAAAATCCCAACTTCCTAAATTTTGAGATAATTTGGTGTTGAGAAATGTTACATCATTTGTAAAATTGATATAATATTTCTGATCAAGATCGATAAGTCTGAGCCTGCAGAAGGCTGCCTTGGTTTGAGAATCATGACTTAACTCCCAGAACCAGCAAAGCAGGTAAGTTTATCTAAGAGGGAAATTCAAAGGCCTTTTGGTGCTGCCAGACTTTTTTTTAAAATCTTTCTGTAATCTTACCCCAAATCCTACTAAACATTCCACCTCCAATCTTACTCTTCAGAGAGACATTTTTTTTTTTTTTAATACTGCCATTTCAGAGCTCAACAGGGTGTGTTCTTGTGTCTTGGAGAAATTTTGGGAACTGATTTTCTTTGACAAACCCATTTTACTGCAGAAAAAAGCACCATGTAGAAGATGGGAAAGAAGGAAGATTCTTGTGTGGAAAAACTAGAAGTCAAAAAGTTTACCATACTTAAAATTACTTCTGTAAAATTTCAGCTCTGTTCTCTCCCTTTCACATTCATTAACTCTCGTGTTTTCCAAGATGAGAATTCCCCAGCCATGGGAGTGGTAACTGGTTGGTGATCTCTAAAATAGATGACATAAGAACAAATCAACTATGAGGAAACTTTGCATTTCAATGTTGAATTTTAGTATATGAGATTCATAGTAGAGATATGATCTGAGTAGACCCCGGGGGTCTCATTTGCCCTGGAAAAGTGTCCTCTGATGTTTTTCAAAGTTGTCAGTAAAAGTGCAATTATGGCAACCAGAATGATCATTTTAGGCTAATCCTGGTTAATTGGTTAATTTCTGTGGCAATAAAGATATAAAACATGTTATGCAGTAACATGTGTCAAGCTATTCCAAACATCTAGACTTGATTTTTATCCAACATCTGAAAAAAATACAGGGAAAGCATGTACAACAGCTTTCTCTTTCTGCTCACTTCAAGATTCTATTAGACTAAAAACATATTTTCTTCTAATTTTATCTATTTTGGGTATTCCTCTACTGATCTTTTACTTTCCCACCTTCCTTAAGTTAACCACATGATGATTCATTTTAGTTGGAAAGTGGCAGGAAGTTGGCCAGCTGGTGGGGTTGTGACATAACTTCCCTCCTGGTTTTGGAACTAACCGTACTCTTTTCCTGGAACGAACGATTGTTTCTTAAAGACTTTGTGCTTTTGTTTTTACTATTCACCCTAAGATTTATTCCCTCCCTCACAACCTACCTCTGTAGGTAGCCAAATCTGATGAAACACTTAGTTCTTTAAGAAGAACCTTAAATATCGTCTCTTCTGAAGACTTCAAGACTCTCCTTTTCCCAGTTCTTTTTACACATTCCCTCCTTCCCCTTTGGTGCCTATTACATTGACTTTATTTCTGCCTGTAACATTACACCCTTCGCTCCTTGCGAAGAGGACTTGCTTATCTTAAACCCTCAACATCTAGCAGTGTCTCAAATGTCCATTCTCAATAAGGCATTTTGAAATGTTGCTAAATAAAACTGCTTAACATCATCAGTCTTTCCATTAGTTCATTTTTGTTTTGACTTGCCCTGTGCTCCCATGCTTGCCATTCGTCATTCTGATGACATGATGCTCTGGAGGTTTTCTTGTGTTTTTTGTTTTTAATACCACATCCCAGTACATGGGATGAAGAGATCTTCCTTGAAATAGAAGATCATCTCTCATTCTTGCTCTAGAAAAGTTGAGTTTATCTTTTCTTGGAGACTAAAGATTATTGTGAGAAAACTTACAGGTTCTTTGACCTGAAAAATGAACTTCTGTAAACATTTTTCATATGATTACAAAAGCCCATGTCGAGAACACCAACTTGAAAGCACACTAAAAGCTGTGCGATCCAGTGGAAGACTGTAGGCTACCACTATTCATGGGTAGTCCAGTTGAGAGGCAGAGAGCAAAGATCCTAGCAGTGTGTGGGGAGAGGTGCCAGTCATTGGGGGTTAGAATGCCATGGAGATCCATGAGTCCAGGGTTCATATTACCTATTTTAGAAATAGAAATCTTTTTAAGCTAGCCTTTTCATGTTACTTCAGTCTTCTAGAGCTTACATTCAACAAACGTGCTGTTCATTCTAGCTAGAGTGCTATTCCCTTAGATCTTTGTATGACTTCCTATCATTAAGGTCTCAGCTGTGATGTCATCTCCTCAGTAAACCTTTATTTTCACCCAACCCAAAGTATTTTCCATGCCCCTTCCCAATTTCTCTGTCTCAATTTCTCAATCTAAAAGTAGCATATTTATTTATAGATTAGTTTTGCATCAGCTTTTCCTCCCACTAGAATGTGAGTTCCATGCAAGCCAGGATAGTCTCTGTCCTATGCACCTCTCTTTCCCTGAGGGGTGCCAGATATCATAGATCAATACATGTATGTGGATTAATAAGTTAATTATTGGCTAATAGTAGACAATGACATAATAATGATATTAAATGAATATATATGGCTGGCTCATTAATGAGCAGTCATTAGATTACAAGTGCCTATGAATTCCATCGAGCTCCGGTGAGATTCAAATATTGCTATGTTAAATATCACAGGTTAGTAGATATTAATGTATTTAGACCAGAGTCTAAGAATGCTTTGTAACAGCAGATAATTCAGGGCTTTAAAATCCACTCTACCCCTGGTAACCTGCCTGGAACTATGTCATTTGAGAAGGAAAAGGAACATTAAATTACTTGGGTTCCTGTTGTGCTGATCTCCTCTCCCTCATTATCTTATGTACTTTATATAGCTGCCCTGTGGGGAGCTGTTATTTTATCATTATTTGTAAGAGGGAAATGCAGCTTAGGGGGTGAGATAACCTGCCTCAGGCTACACGGTAGTATGCATTTGTGTCTAAGACCTGTCCCCAAACTCCTCACCAGGTAATACAAGCTACATATTCTGAGTCCGAGGTCACATATCTCCATATTTTGCTCTTTGCTCTAAATCACCTTTCCTGGATTTCCTGCAGTTATGCTTTGCCAGCCAACTGTGTACAGGGCTCCTCTAGAATATATTGGCACTTTTGTGAAAACTTGGTTCAGAGCAGGTGGTCCCTTCTTTGACTCATCTGAAAATTTTCTAACGCAGTGACTATATGTTACTAGATTTTAAAAAGATTTCTACTACATCAGTCTTCTGTTAAAACTAATATTTTTAAATGGGAGAAGCATTTGTTAAACAAAATTGAGTATTTTTTTTCAATTAGTCCTTAGCATCAGTTTGTACTAAGAGTCTTTAAGAGGAGAGCACAGGGTGTAGTTGTCAAATATTTGATGATAAGAACTCTCATTATTGTCTTGTGATTAAATGTATTAGCTGACTCACAGTAGTTTTATTTTGGCGTGTTGTTTCTTTCCAAGAGTAATGGAAATATTTTGTTAAAATAATGTGGTTTGAATAATGCCCTCATTTTAAAGAGTTGATACTCATCAGTTCCTATTTGATGAATCTATGCCCATGGTAGAATCCTAGACTCAATAATATTTAGCTCTGGCACTCTGTATTTCAAAATAAATACTTATTCAACTAGACGTTGGTATTGTTCCTATTTCTTATTTTTTAAAAAAATATTTATTTATTTATGCATACAAGAACTGGGGTACAGGCCACAGGTGTTGCGGGGGGTGAGAGGATTCACCAGAGACAGAGCGGGAAACAGAACAGGTAGATTGACTGAAATGCACTGCTGAAAGGAGCAGCAGGAGAGTCAGGAGAGGTCTGCTGCGCCATGTGGGTAACTCCCTCACCAGGGATTGAACTCGTGCTGCAGTGGCTGCGGATAGCTTCATAGGTTGTGTCTTGACCCCTTGAGCTACCAGGGAGGCCCTGTTCTTATTTCTTATTTAGCTTAAGTTACTAGTCAAGGTCATCTCCATTAATAGTGTCTGGATTTTCTTTTTCTTTTATTTCCCTATTCTCACTTCACATAATTATCATCCAGTACCTTAATTTTTTTTATAAGAATAAAATTACTATCTCATGTTTCATGAATTCTTAGTTATACAGGCTACGCTTTATGTAGATTTAAAACTCTTGTTTTTAGACACTTATTATAATAACGCATTGTCTTATTGGCTCTTCAGGAAACAGATGTGGTTCCAGACACCAGGCTTTTGCACAAATTTAGTCAGATTACACCTCAGCTCTTTAACTCCTTAGATGAAACCCTCCCAAATCCACCACTGGAGACGTTATACATCTTTGACTTCTTTATTGCATTGGCAATTTGTAACACAGTAGTGGTTTCTGCTCCTAACCAACCGCGACAAAAGGTAAGGCCTCTAATGCAAACAAAGGTTGCCTTCTAGAAGAGAGGTTTGGATTTATTTTTTAAAAAAATATTTATTTATTTAAGCTTTATTTATTTATGCATATAAGAGCTGGGGTACAGGCCAGAGATGCGGGGGTCGGGGGGTGAGAGGATTCACCAGAGACAGAGTGGGGAACAGAACAGGCAGACTGACTGAAATACACGGCTGAGGGGAGCAGCGGGCGAGACAGGAGAGGTCTGCTGCGCCATGTGGGTTGCTCCCTGGCTGGCTGGGGATCGAACTCGTACTGCAGAGGCTGCGGATTGTTCCATAGTGCATTGCTTAACCTCTTGTGCCACCAGGGAGTCCCGAGAGGTTTGGATTTAAATATACTTATACTGGTTTTGTTATAGATGATGGTGATGATAGCAGCTAATATTTATATATCACTTAATCTGTGCTCTGGACTGATCTGTGCTCTGTTCTGAGTGAGTTACTTGTAGTAGTATGCTTAATCCTTCAACAACCCTATGAGTCAGGTACTATTATTCTACTATTTCCCATTTAACAGATGAGATTAAGTAACTTGCTGGGGTCACAGGACTGGTTTGTGGGGAGGTGGGATTTGAACCGAGGAAGTGTGATTCACTGCTATTAAACTATTTGCTTCTAGGAGGATAGCTGGTAAGAGAAGTTCTTGTTCTTTTTGTTTTAATTTCCTTACCAAATGAAGCTTTCTTTGAGACTTCTGAGACCTCCACCTTCGTATAAGCTACCTCAAGAAAAATACAATATTGGATTCATGATCATTTATCATGATAATGTATCTTTTTCATGTCCAATTGTGTTAGTTTTAACTCAGTCAATCTAAAATCCATTACATCTATAATTCAACAAGTTTCTACAATTCCCACAAAGCTGGGATTTCAAAAGTTTCTTTTTAGTTTAGAATTCATGGAAAATTCATTTTCAACTAAAAAGACTTGTTTTAGAAACTGGTGATTCACCACTTGCTGTGCTGCTTTCTTTGTATGTAGCCATCTCTCTTTTTGTAAACACTCACTTAAAAGTCTATTTGCAGCCCAACCAAATTAAATTTTAATTTTCCCTTAGATCATTTTATTTGGCAACATCAGAGGTGGTCAATTTTAACATAAAAATAATTTGCTTCCAATTAAGCTTTCATTTGAAGAAAAACTTTTTTTTAATGATTTCAACTAAAAAGATGCTCTTTGAAAACTAATGATGTAGTTAGAAAATAAACCATGAATGGTCTTTCTTTCCTTTCCCTGTAACAATTTTTCTCAAATAGGTGTCTTTGGGTGTTTTCTAAGAAGTATATTTGCCTTATCCCCAAAGAATATAATATTCTAGGGACTGAAAAGAAAATCCCTGTTGGCATATAAGTACCTAAGCTTCATGGTATTTTAAGATAATGATAAAAAGACAGCGTATAAGGCGCTAAACTGAATTCATGCAGATTACAGAAACCTCAACTGTGATTGAGTTTTATTCTTCATTTCTGAATTGCTAACAAGTTTGAAAATTAACCAGCATAATTCCCTCAAACTATCATAAAATTAATAGTTTCTAGGAGAGAATGTTTAATTCCTTGGACACTTCTGATTTAATGCCTTTTAAGATCTAAACAATTTGTCTTCATGATTAATATTAAATGGTAAGCTTAATCATTGACAAAAGTTCAGAGCTAGGAGAATTCAGATTACCAATAAGATATTCTATAAAAACAGAAATTCAAAATCACATTATGGTGTTGATAATTCCTCTTCTGGAAACAACTTTGTTTACTGACTTGTTTTCAAAAGGGAGGTAGAGTAACAACTTTTTATAGAATTTGGAAAAGAAAAGGAAAAAAATAGCAATTTTTTTAACCTTTTGGTTTTCTTCCAGTGTTTTAAATATTTCTGCTATTTCTTATTTGTCCTTATATTGTTCATACTATGTTTATAGTTATTCTCATATTGCCCAACAGTCTTTAAAGACTTTATTTTCAAATACTGGATAATATTTTGAGAAGATAATTCTAATTTGCTATTTTTGAATACTTCATTTGCTTAAAATTGGTATTGCTAGAATGCATACAATAAAGAGTATGGAATTAACCGTATCTTATTTCATTAGGAAAAAGTTGCTATTTGAATGCCCACTGCATTCAAATTCTATGACCAAATAAATGGTCATAGAAATTCTTAATGTGGACAACATTGCACACTTTTCATTGTGGCTATTTTTATTAGTGTTTTCTGTCATAGTTGTAAGTATGAATGGGCTGCTAGTTGTTTAAGGTAGTGGTAACTCTTTTGATTCTCATTTTTTCCCAGTTTGATTTTGAAGTGGTCATAAACGACTTATGACTATATTTTTAAGACCATCCTTATCTTTCCTAGGTTGGCCTCTCTTCACTTAGTGGAATGCCCATTAAGTCTTTGGAAGAGATTAAAAACCTCTTCCAGAGATTGTCTGTCCGGAGATCAAGTTCACCATCTCTTGCCAGTGGCAAAGAGCCTTCATCTGGGGTCCCAAACCCCTTTGTGAGCAGACTGTCTCTCTTCAGTAGAATGAAATTGACTTCACCTGTAGAGGAAGAGGCCTCCCAGTGCAGTGAGAGTCCTCAAGACTCTAGTCATCCCGAATGCCCTTTGGAAACAGAGAAACAAGACTGTGACGCAGGCCTCACCAATGGTCAGGTGGAGTCCCTCCCTGGACAGCCCTTGGCCTCAAACCTGTGTTATGAGGCCGAGAGCCCGGATGAAGCGGCCCTGGTGTATGCTGCCAGGGCTTATCAGTGCACTTTACAATCCCGGACTCCAGAGCAGGTCATGGTGGACTTTGCTGCACTGGGACCATTAACATTTCAACTTTTACACATCCTGCCCTTCGATTCAGTAAGAAAAAGAATGTCTGTTGTGGTCCGGCACCCTCTTTCTAACCAAGTTGTGGTGTATACAAAGGGTGCTGATTCTGTAATCATGGAATTACTTTCCACGACTAACCCAGGTGAGTTCCTACACACTTGAGAGCGTAGTGACAGGAGGAGTTTGGACACTCTGTTTAATTTGGTGAAAGCAAACAAGTGGATGTTTGGAGACCAACCACACTTGGTTAAGTGGGGGAACCTGTCTAGGATTTGGTGAGAAAGCACTAAAATTTTGGGGCTACATGACTTGGGTTCAAATCTGATCTCTGCTGTTAGTTATGAGTTGGCAAAGTTATCTAATTTTTTCAATGTCTAAGTCTTCAATAAGTTGGCATTATAGTTCCTCTGTTATACCTGAGAAGCACCTGAGAAGTTTAATGACCTGCTTAGGCATGTGGAGGCTTTGACCTTGAACCTAGCAGGTGACAAGTGCTCCATGAACAGCAGCTAATATAGCTATTGTAACTGTGTTTCAAATGGTGGTAGAAAGGTGTTTATATTAAAAGTTATCAGTACTTTCTTTTCCCCAGGGAGAGAGGGATAACAGGGCAAGATTTATTCTGATGCCTTCTCTTTATAAATGCACATGTGGGATTCAAAATGACATGGCCTTTTGTTTGTTGTGAATTAAGCTCTCACTGTTTTTTAAAATATATCTATAATTGGGCAGACTAGTGGGAACACTTGTGTTTTGTTAATTATTTCAGATGGAGCAAGTCTGGAAAAACAACAGATGATAATAAGGGAGAAAACCCAGAAACACTTGGACGACTATGCCAAACGAGGCCTACGCACTTTATGTATAGCAAAGAAGGTGAGTGGCTGAGTTCTCGCCCTTGCTCCACCAGCATTTCATGAAAACTAGCACATATCAAACCCGGACACAGGCTTGGACCACCACCTCTCTATTCATGGCTAACCTATTCGATATGCATTGGGTGGCTGGAGTTTGTTCTCCAAGTGTTTTGTCTGAAACATACCTAAAAGTTACCTTCTCTGAGTTACACGTTTCAGTATATCTGGGATTGCCTTTGTGTGTAAATAGCAGTTTGGGAATACAGTCCCTGGGTCTTTTTTCCCCTAAGTACTTTCTAATTTTCGCTCCTCTGTCTCACAGCATTAAATGTGCTTTGGAAAGAATGAGGCTAGAGCCTGGCTTTGTTTTTCTCCTTTAAGTTATTGATAGTTTTTCCTGACATGTTCATCAGTGTTCCTCTGTAAACCCAGTGAATTCATTAAATATTATCTCAGTATTGATTATTCTCTGTTGAGAATAATCCCAGAGTATAGTGTATCCATACAAAATAAAAGTTTACTAAGAAAGAAGACAGCGTCAAGAAATGATTTGGGGGGTGTTATTACCAGCAACTCCCCTGCCTCGGGAGGAGAATAGGAGAGACAGAGATGGAGCCCTTTCTGAACGGATTGGTCAAGGTTTTTGTGGCACTTGGCCAGTGGGGTGTAGCTTAGGAATTCACCAAGTCAAGCTGTACATTTTTGAAGTTAGAGTTTCAGTTCCTCCATTCATCCTAGACTCCCACGTGTAGAGAAGACATGGAGATACGGGTGGATCAAAGTATCCGTATGTTAATGGCCACCCAATAATTTCCCAACCACAGGACACCTAGGAAACCTGACTTGTAGATTTCTAGCAGGACCTCTTTTTCTTATCCAAATTCTAGTTTTTAGGGGCTATCTTGTCAACTAACTACATGGAGAAATCAAAAGGCCTAACTCACCTAGTGTAAGAAGAATGCAGAATTCAAGATCTAAACGGGCCCTCTGTTTTTTCAGTGGAATGATCCTACCCTTGATAAAATGTAGCCCAAAAGATGTCAGATTCTCCCAGATCAAATTACCTTGTGGACCAAAGTAAACAGATGAGAGAGAAAAGACCTCATCCTTTCTCTATGCTGCATCATAAGAACTGAAAGGGAGATTTGTCCCTCGCTGGCAACTTAAAGACAAAGGAAATTGCACCGTTCATTCCAAAGAATTCCACTTAATATTGTTTGGAACAATATTTTCTTGCTTCATCCCTGTGGTCCCCACTGTCTTTTTTTTTTTTTTTTACCTTTTTAAATACACATAAGCCAATTATTGAAAGATATCAGAGTTCCTGCTGGCTACCTTATACCTCAAACTGAATGGACCTGACACCATTTTCTCTGCTGCCATGCTGGAAATGTCCTGGATTTAGCTACCAGGTGGAGACCTCTCCCAACTGCATATTTCCTGGTTTAAATAAAAAGATTAACCCATTTTCACCCTATATGGTGCCTAGAATTTCTAAGAGGCACGGAGTTCCAGGGCCCATCTGTCCTCATCAGTGTTGCACTGGCTGATGACACTTCAGAAAGCTCCTGAGCAGGTGGCAGGAGGCTGTGAACCTGGCGTGGACGTGGCTAGGGAGGAACTCCTGAAACCAGTTGGTGGCTTGAGACTTCACCAGTGGACAGTTGTGGCAGGATCACCCACTGGCCCACTTCACAGCTCTTTTTTCTCCCCCAAGGTTATGAGTGACACTGAATATGCAGAGTGGCTGAGGAATCATTTTTTAGCTGAAACCAGCATTGACAACAGGGAAGAGTTATTGCTTGAATCTGCCATGAGGTTGGAGAACAAACTAACATTACTTGGTAGGTAGACTATTTTGTGTTGTCAGAATGACAAATTTTGAAAATATCTGGGTGTCTTGTAATAAGTTTTTTCCTAGTAGTTGTTTTTTTCCCCTCCACTTTGATCCAATAAACGTAAGTGGTACTGCCCACCCTGTCCAACATATGGACTCCATTTCTCTGGTTGGGACAAAAACAGCTATGATTTCTCCTAAGTCATTTCTCTGTGACAATGGTATACTTGTCCTCATATGAAAATCCAAACTCAAATGCTCTGTGGGTTTAGTACCAAACTCATTTGGCAGCAAAATCAGGCCTGATTTGATAGTCTACTTATCAGTCCTTATTATCCTAATAGTTTAAACATTTGTAAGTTTTACTGCAGCAATATTAATATGCTTGATTACCAGATATACAAAATATGACAACTGTACTGCGTTACCTTTTAAAAATCTGCAAATCTTTTGAATTTTAAGCTATAACTTGCCTCCAGTTATTTCAGAGAAGGAAATTATAGACATATCATGAAAGAGCATTGTAAATAGGTATTACATCTTACTGGTAAGAGCATTCTTTAAAATTCTGCCCTTCCCTTTGGGAAGTGCACTGTAATTATAGAGTACCTGAATCAATCACCCTCAATTTACATATAAGAAAGTTAGCCAAAAAGGTAAAAACCTAAGTTTGATCAACTCACTGATTCCTCAGGTTTCTCTCCCAAAATATTACTTTTATGTTTTTTTGGCTGTGGGTCTTTCCATTGCATTTGGATTCCCTGGAAGTCACTGGAGTTTATGTAGTTTCCGACTGGGGTGGCTAACAGATGTGGTTCAGGTGCAGCCTCTGTGAGCTTCTGCTGACTTTGGTTTCTTACAAGCCCTGACACTCTTTGGTTATTTTTTAGGGGCCACTGGCATTGAAGACCGTCTGCAAGAGGGTGTCCCTGAGTCTATAGAAGCCCTTCAAAGGGCCGGCATCAAGATCTGGATGCTGACAGGGGACAAGCAGGAGACAGCTGTCAACATAGCTTACGCATGCAAACTGCTGGAGCCAGATGACAAGCTTTTTATCCTCAATACCCAAAGTAAAGTATGTGTAATGAGACTAAACCAGTCATCTTGTTTTCTCAAAGCCAGCAGAGCATTTGTGATTTAATGAATATAAGAGAAAAAAAACCTGATAACTATTAACTATTAGCTCCTTGATTATTATTTCTTATTTTTGTCATTTCTTCTATTCATCATCCCAGTGTGTGCTTGGAAGGGCATTGTTTTTCTAAATGCTCAGTAAAAAAATCATCATGATTCAGAGCATGCATTGTTGAATAAGGGCGTAACAGTTTCCTTTTTAATTTTTTTTAATTTAATTTTTCTTCCTCTGCAAGATTACCAGGGATTTGAAAAATTCAGCCCACAATGACAAAATATATCAAGTTCTGGGATAGCAATCTACCTCCATTTCAAGTTGAGGGGAAGTGCTGATTTCTATCAGAATCAGGTCAATAGTTAATGTTTTAATGTAAAGTCTAAAAATAGATTGTCAGGCTAATCATGCCCTCTAGTGGTAATTCTTAGATAGTGCTCGTGAAAATATCAAAAGTTTGATGAACTGTTAGAGAAAAGGGAAATAAGAGATTTTTTCCTTTAAGGAGAAGGAACTTAAGAGGTTTATCCCTATTCTATTTTTTTCCCAATCCCCCCACTAATCTCCTACACAAGTGTTCTGGTCAGATAAACAGGCATTTGATTTGATTCCTAGTATAGTGAACCCCTCATGACCTGTGCAAATTGTTTAATTAGGTTGGAAATTCTTCCTCCTTCCTTCCTCAGTAATCAAATTTAATCAGTGACGGCCTTCTCAGAATTCCTCTGTAGCTTCTCATCTGGATCTCCACAGCTGCCACAATGAGTCGGCGTGTTTTTATGGTCAGACCTCAGTCAGTACCCAACTCCTCACACTTTAAGGAAGAGTTTCCTTATTCAACAGAGAATGAATAACCTTAGCACCTTGCAGTGGCCTCATGACCCATAACCACAATCACCAGCCAGTTCCCAGCACCAGCTGAAGACTGAGCACAAGAAAATGCTGAGTCACTTTAGGCTGGGACCTAAAATTTTCACACATGGATGATGGTTGGTAAAACCACGAGAATTCAAATGGTCTCCCTGCCCTTACCAGGTCTTTGACCTTGAAGAGTTCCATACCCTCTTGAGGCAATTTCCTTACCTGCTGTTACAGCAGGAATGGGCATGGAGCAGGTTCTCTATGACCCGAGCAGACAGGTAAAGAAGTGAGTCCTGGAGCCCTCAGTGGCTTTTGCAGGCTTTTATTGGGATTTTACTGAGTACACAGCAGGCAGGGGTGCTGGGGAGCCAGGAGGCTGGCAGGTCTCCCAGCCCCCAGCAAGTCTTCACTCTATCTGGGCTCTCTGCTCCCCTCGTGATTCTGCTCTCTTCTCGGCTGGCGTCTCCCTGTTGCCGCCCTTATAAGCCCAGTCTTAGCCCAGGTGAATCCCATCTGTATATGCCCACACCCTATTCCAGGTGCCCGCCATCAGGCATGTATTCAGGACCTCAAGAAGCCATCATCAATCCTAGTGGCGGGAGGGCAGAAAAGCCTGATACATTTTACCTTACCCTACACCTGCCTATTTCATAGGGTTGTTGTGGGCATTAAATGAGCAGATATAAATTGTTTAATGTGGTGCATGAAAGATGAAAAGGGTTCAGTGAACATTGAAAATGGAAAAGTTGTCAATTCTTCATGCTTGATTTTGACTTTGAGATTTTTTTTAGTTTTATTGATTTATCATAACTGTTTAATTTTTGCATCACTGTAATTTGGGTTGTACAGCTTCACACCTCCATGTGAACTCTGTACTCACCCTGCACCAAAGCTCCAGTGTCACAACCCTACCACCTTCCCTTCCCACCCTTCCTACCTATGGAAGAGCTCTGGAGTCTGAAAGTAACCCATTATTCACTACCTGGGATCACCTTGATGCAGTAATTTCTAAAGAACGACATTGATCAATTTAGTTTCATGTGGTAATCCCAGAAGGCACCAGGCGAATTATCTTTGCCTCTTGTTTCAAGGATGCCTGTGAGATGCTGATGGGCACAATTTTGAAAGAACTTCAAAAGAAGAATCCAGCCTCTCCAGAGCAGGCATTCTCAAGTGAGGATGTACGCCTGCCTCCTGGCCCACAGGACTCAGCGCCGAGGGCTGGACTCATCATCACTGGGAAGACGTTGGAGTTTGCCCTGCAGGAGACGCTGCAGAGGCAGTTCCTGGAGCTGACTGCTTGCTGTCAAGCAGTGGTCTGCTGCCGAGCCACACCCTTGCAGAAAAGCGAGGTGGTGAAACTGGTACGCAACCACCTCCGGGTGATGACGCTGGCCATCGGTGAGCGGGGTGCAGCCCTGGGCTTCTCACTTTCATGCCACAGGGAGGCTGATCCTTCTGTCTCTTCTTTCTGCTTGTCCTTTTATCTGCTCTTTTTCTTCCCCACTTTTCCTCCCATTTTCCGCCCTTTTTTCTCTCTACCTTCCCTCATTTTCTCTCCCTTTCCTTTATCACTATTTGACCTTCTGCTATGAGCCAGGTGGTAGCGGTGTGACCTGGAAAATAAGTCAGGACTCTTTGGGTTACATGTCAGATGCCCTAATGAACTGGATTAAGTGATGTACCAAATCACAGATCTGGAAGTCCAGGTGTTCTTTAGGAAAAAGTTCAATTCAGAGACATGAATTTATACAGTCAACAAATATTCATTGAGTGCCTTCTATATACCAGGAGTTTAGACAAGGGTGATACAAGACTACATAAAACTGACAAAGTGTCTTTTCTTTAAAGAGTTTGTATCTCGTGGGAGGTTTTATAGTAAAACAAAACAAAACAAAAATAGCAGAGATATATAGCAGATAGTGGCAAATGCTATTGAAAAAATAAAGCAGAACCAGGGGAATGTAGAGTTTTGGGGGAGGGAAGGGTGGATGCCATTTTAAATAATGTTGGTTTTTTTTTTTTTTTTTTTTTTTTCTGGAAAAGTTCTCTCTGATAAGATTGTGAGCAGAGACTTGAAGAAAATGATATGCAAGTCTTAGGTGATCTGGGGAGAGATCATTTCTGGAGGAGAAGACAATGAAAGTGAGGGTGTGTATGAGGCCAAAACTCCCTTGAGCAAAGGGAAGAATTTGCTGAGGTTAGTGAAGGGCAGAGAAATGGCACCTGGCCAGGTCATTTAGGGTCTTAGAGACTGTTATAAAATTTTGGCTTTTATCTGAAGAGACAGGGAGTCATTGAGGGATTGTGAACAAAGGAAGAACGTGGCCTGCCTTACATTTAAAAGAATCATTGGCTGCTGTGTTGAGAGTAACTGTTGGATTGCAAGGCTGTAATTAAGAAAACCAGTTGGAAATAATTTAGGAATGAGACGATTATGATTTGAGCTTAGATGTGAGCAGAAGAGGTGGTGGGGCATGGGATAGTAATGGGCATGGTTTGAAGAAAGAGCTGTTGACATTTGCTGATGGATTAGATATATTACATGCTAGAAGGAATCAGGGAACATCCAGGCTTTTTCTCTAAGAATGGATAGGAAGGAGCTGCCATATGCTGAGATGGATTCAGGGGAATCAGGAGTTTGGTTTTGCACATGTTAAGTCTGAAAAGTTCATTAGATGTCTAGCCTGTGATGTCAGGTAGGCAGACAGATAGAAAATCTGGCATTTAGCAGTGAGGAGTTGGCTAGAGTTACAAATTTTGGAATCATAAGTCGGGTGGGGATAGCTAAAGCTTTGAAAATAGATGAGATCGGTCCAAACAAAAATGTGTATAAATAAACAAAAGCAGCAGTGTGCGATAAAGCTCTGAGCTCCTCTGTTGTTTGGAGATTAGCAAGATGAGAACTCAGCCATCTTTCTATTTCTGTTTTTCTCGGGATTATTCTTAGTGTCAGTAGCTCTCCTCATCGGGGTGCTGATAAAGTCACTGAAAATTTTGGATTTACACTCTATCCCATTAGCAACCTGAGTGAGAAGAAACTATCTCTCTTTTTAAGTTGTTAGGAGTAAAATATCAGGATTAGATTAGTATTTTGTTCAACTATCTTAATGAACATATTATGAATGAATTGTTTAAGCCCCAAGGATCCAGATTTCCTAAGGCTAGAACACTGAGATATTTCAATTTTATCAACTGAGTTGATCGTAAGCTCATCCCTTAACCAATCACTGAAGCCAGGGAACAGAATTTGCAGGCCTGGTTCAGTTCCCCATCCTATATCTGGGGGTTTGGGTCATGAACTCAGATTGAAAGGAGAATCAGAATGCTATGTCTTAAAAACTAGTGAATGATTGGTGTGAAGTTGGGAACAGCAAAAAGTTTATTACCAATAGAAATGTAATACCTTTTCTTAAGATGCTCCAGTGTGGTGGGAAGAACAAGACATCTCTATGCAACCATACACCATGTGGTGTAGGTATGATAGAGATACGGAGTCATGTGGGGGCCTAACGAAGAACATCTGCTTTAAAGAGTATGAAAAGGACTTCCCAGAGGAGGTGGCATTGAAACTTGAAAGTAAAAGCAGTTGATATCCAGCAAAGTGGGTGGGGGTGATGAGCACAGTATTATAAAAATAGAGAAACCACGTGCAGTGGCTGGAAGGAGCAATATATCTGGAAAACTGAAACTAGAGTGAGTGGCATAGAAGAAGATCAACCCAGGTAGGAGTTATAATATGGAAGAACTTAAGGAGGATTGGGTTTGAAATTCTGCCTGGTGGCAGTCGGATTACATTTAATGTCTGCTTACTTAGAACTTAGAGACCTGAATAAACTTTGAAGGATTTGCTGTTTGCTTGAGTGGTCACTATTGATTTGCAAAATTTACATCTATTCTTTACCCTTCCTTCATTTCTTACTTTTTCTTCTGCCTCATGAAGGTGATGGCGCCAATGATGTCAGCATGATACAAGTGGCAGACATTGGGATAGGAATCTCAGGCCAAGAAGGCATGCAGGTGAGTGATGGTGCATTCAAGCACCGTGAACTTGACCTACCCATCCAAATGCAGCCTTCCTCTGAAGTAAAACTCTCTTTGGTAGGGAGACTCTGTGGTTAGCTCAGGGGTGGGAAACTTGAATTTTATCCATTCATTCTTTGTTTACTGGATGAGTCTTATGGTATTTTTTTTTTTTTTTTTTTTTTTTTTTTAAAGATTTATTTATTTATTTATACAAGCACTGGGTACAGTCAGAAGCGTGGGAGGGTGAGAGAATTCACCAGAGCCAGAGCGGGGAGCAGAGCAGGCAGAAGGACCAAAGTACACTGCTGAGGGGAGCAGCGGGCGGCAGGAGAGGTCTGCGCGCCATGTGGGACCCTCCTCTGGTGGCCGGGGAGCAGCCGGGGATTGAACCGGCGCCTCAGAGGCTGCGGGCAGCTTCGCAACCCAGCGCTCAACCGCTGCGCCACCGGGGAGGCCCCGAGTCTTATGGTATTTTCCTGGATAATTTTAAGTGTGTGGTTCACTTGGAAATAGAGCCTATCTAGATCATAAGAATATATCTTTTCAGTCCTGAAATAACTATGCAACTTCTGACATGGACAAAAATCTACTGAGATTTCCAATAAAGGACTTAAAGATGCTAAAGAAAGAGGGACAGGGAGAGAAAATGTGGGAGAACAAGACTTGGGGAGGTGGGAGTATCCATGGATGGGTAGCATTTAAGGCACAAAATTCAGATGAAAGTTTGTCCAAAGACTGCTTTTTGTGTATGGAGCAAATGCTGTCAGGGATAGGTGCAATGTGAGGGTAGGGTTTCCTGAGAATTGTAAATTATGGTATCTGTACAAAAGATGAGGAACTCAAATGCCTCTTTACCTGAAATATTATGCAGTTATATAAAGTCATGACCAAAATACTTTTAAATATTTTCCTCCTTGAGGGGAGGTTTATGCACACAGTTTTTAATAAGGAGCTACATTTGCTGAAATTATATCATGAGTGGTAATCAGTGGCAACTCTGGTTTCACACACTGTGTTGGAAAGCTGAGTAGTGACGCCAGACAGCCCAGCACGGCTCTGTTGTTGGGGTATTTTTGGTGGGTGGGGGAGAAGGGGGGATTTTTTTTTTTTTGGTCTGTATATAAAATTTATTTTTATTGAAGTAGCATTGTTTTTGCATATAAATTTTTAAGCTGATTTGACTCCTCTGGGTTCTGCTGGTGTGCTGATGGTTAGGCATGTTGTCTCTTCTGACATGTTTAGCTGACCAGGGTGACCTTCTCTCCCTGTTGCCTCTGCAGGCGGTGATGGCCAGTGACTTTGCTGTGTCTCAGTTTAAACACCTCGGCAAGCTCCTGCTTGTCCACGGGCACTGGTGTTACACACGCCTCTCCAACATGATTCTCTACTTTTTCTACAAGAACGTGGTATGTAGCGCCAGAGAATTTGCTCCCTCTACCCCTTTCCACCTTGCACTCCTGTGTGAGTAAAGGACAAAGAGGAATTATCCTACTCGAAGTTTCTTTGCTTCTGATGGGTTAGGAGTGGCCAGGAGCACTCCTGCTGCCTTTCCAGAAATAATCTGGGAATGTGCTGTTTCAGCCGCTGACAGCCAATTGCTAGGCTTGTCCATCTGCTGGTATTTTTTATTCCCTATGCATTTAAATTCAATTAAGTCCTGTCTGGTTCATTTAAAATCCAATTTTTGACCTTCCATAAAAAGGCTGTGACAAGCAGAATTATGAAATGTTTAATGCTGTCTGTCAGTAGAAAATGAAAAGGTTTGCTTCCATTTTACAGGAGATACAGAAAAATGTCTGCTGTTCCCAAACTGATGTCTCCTGTGGTATAATGAAGACACAGATACAGGCAAAAACCTAACATAATGCTTTATTAACTTAAGCTGACTGGCACTCCCAGATGCAAGAATTTTCTAGCAAGCCTGTAAAATGTGTCTGTGCTTGGTAGTTATTTGATGGTTAAGGAACTTTAGTTTGATTATGTAGTTCCTATAAGGAGAGAATTTGATTAGAACTCTGACTTCTTATTTTTAGCATACCATTTAAATTTCAGTGTCCACTTTTGTAAAATCAAGCTGACCTTAAAATAAGTCATGGTTTTTAGGTCAAATTTATTCTTGGTCTTTAAAGTTAACATATAGCTTGTTAATAACAAGCATAAATTTAGATCACTATTGAGGTACAACTTGTAGGAGAAAAATCAATTCAATTCATGCAAAACTTCATTTTTAGGATATCCCAAATGTGTGATTTAGGTATGTATATGTGTCTGTGTCTCTCTGTCTCTGTCTTCAGTACATAAACTCCTCAGAAAGCTCTCAGTATTTACTAATTAGAATTAGTGCATTTGGTCAGTTTAATAAAATAATTTACAAAAAAGTATTTGAAAAATTCCAGCCTCTCTGTCAGAATATGTGAATCTGGGGAGAACTGTGATTTGTCATTAAAAATGATAGGACTTAGAGGTCAATGACTTTTGGAGAGGAGACCCTTTCCCCAATTTTTTTTTAAGATTGTATAAATAAGATTTTATTTATACAAGAGCTGGGTTACAGGCCAGAGGCACAGGAGGGTGAGAGGATTCACCAGACACAGAGCGGGGAACAGAACAGGCAGACTGAGTGTAATACACTGCTGAGGGGAGCAGTGGGCACGACAGGAGAGGTCTACCGTGCCATGTGGGTCTCTCCCTGGCAGGCTAGGGATCGAACCCATGTTGCAGAGGCTGCAGACAGTTTCACAGGGCTGCGCTCAACCCACTGTGCCATCAGGGAGGCCCTCTCCTAAATTTTTTGTAAAAAATGCCTTTGCAATATCTTGTCTTCTCTATTATGCTATAGTCTATTCCCTCCCCCCCACCTTAACTCCAAATTAAACCCCAGGGTGAAGAAACACTTAATACTAGAGATGTCCCCAGCTGGTAGACAGAGAGGGAGTTAGTTTATTAGTAGTGAAAACACTAGTTTCTAAAATGCCAATTTACTAAGCTGTGGTTTCTAAGATGCCAACGTTCCTCTTTGTGTTCCAGGCCTATGTGAACCTCCTATTCTGGTACCAGTTCTTCTGTGGGTTTTCAGGAACATCCATGACTGACTACTGGGTCTTGATTTTCTTCAACCTCCTTTTCACATCTGCCCCTCCTGTCATTTATGGTGTTTTGGAGAAAGATGTGTCTGCAGAGACCCTCATGCAACTGCCCGAACTGTACAAGAGTGGTCAGAAGTCAGAGGTAGGTGCTAAAGCCAAAGTGCTGGGACTGATACACTCTGTTGTCAAAGCCAGGGCTTCCCCAGTCAGCCCAGCTCAGGTGCTGTGGTTCAGCAGAATGATACAAAACTGTTTCAGTTGTCTGATTGTCTGCAAAGACACTACTAATGTGGCAGATATTAAATTACTTGTTCCTGGGAAGCACACAGGGAAAACTGTGAAAGGCCTACAGCCAATAACATCTAGCATTTACTAAACCCCACTGTGCCATGTATGGTGTGAACGTTCCCTGTGTCATATGTATTCACAAAAGTACTTTGAGACAGAACCTGGTATTGTTCCCACCCTAAGGTGAAAAATCTAAACATCAAAGCGATTAAGTAATGTTTCCTAAAACTCCACAGCTTAAAAAAAAAAAAAAAAAAGCAGAACCAGGATGTGAACCTTTCTCAGTCTGGTTCCAAAGCCAAAGTTAAATTCTTCAAGTTCTATCACCATGCAAAGCAGTGTGGTGATCAACAACTTCCTCTCCCTAAAATCACGTTTTCCCACCTCCACTTAATAGATCTCTTAGTCCTATCAGTTTTCCTCTGGCACTTCACATATCTATTCCCCCATTTCTATCCTTCTGTCACTGCCCTCATTCTCTCTTACTTAAAGGTTTGTTGTAGTTGATTGATGAATTGGGCTATCTTAAAATTCATTTCTAATTTAACTTTCACAAAATTAATAGTAATATTAACACAGCCCTTAATGAATATTTATCCAGTGCTAACATTTATCTAGGGCCTTCTGTGTGCCAGACACTGATCTTCACATGCAGAGATCTGGTCCTCAAAATGACCCTCAAGATGGGTACTGCTGTCAGCCACACTATGTGGATGAGGAAGCTCAGGCACAGGGAGGTATCTCAAATAACCTTCCTGTGTCCTAGAGCTCCTGGGTGGTGTAGTTGAGCTTGAGCCTGTGCTTTCTCCCACTACTCTATGCTACAGAAAGAACTTTGACACTATCTTTAGCTTTGGTTCCACCCCCTGTAGAAAGCCAGCCTGTTATCACAGACACAGTCAGGATCATGGGGTCCGAGGTGGACCAGGAACATATAGACACTTATACAGGTACAAAGCTGAGGGGTCAGCCTCATTGGTCTAGTCAGATAATCTCATCTTTTTTTTTCTTTTAAAGATTTATTTATTTATACAATCACTGGGTACAGTCAGAAGCGTGGGAGGGTGAGAGAATTCACAAGAGCCAGAGCGGGGAACAGAACAGGCAGACTGATGAAGTACACTGCTGAGGGGAGCAGTGGGCATGGCAGGAGAGGTCTGCGCACCATGTGGGACCCTTGGCGGTGGCCGGGGATCGAACTGTTGCTGCAGAGGCTGCGGGCAGCTTCACAACCCAGCGCTCAACCGCTGCGCCACCAGGGGAGGCCCAGATAATCTCATCTTGAGAAGAAAACTTAGTTGGAGCCCCTTCTGTTGCAAGTGACAGAAAACCAGTTCAAACTGGCTTAGTGAAAAAGGAAAAACTTTTGGCTCACACAGCTGCAAAGACCAGAAGAAAGGGTGACAGAACACTGCTATTCTGTAAATTTCTTGATTATGACTTAGCCTAGTTCGAGCTGCATGCCTGTTCCTATGTTGCTCACTGTGGCTAGAAAGATCATTTTCTCACTGACCAGGGACTTATGGTGTTCTTGAGGACAGAGCTGAATGAAGCCCATGCACAAGACTGGCAAGAAGGGTTTCCCTGTAGAAGCACTGACAGACACAAATGAGACCAACATAAGAATCTGTGTGTTGCAGATTCTGAAGACATTGGCCCAGAACAGTAAATAGAAATAACAGGTTATGTTTGGCATGAGTTTAGTTCTGATTATGGTGTGTGACCTTGGAAAGCTATTTAACTTGCTGGTACTTCAAACTTTTTACTTCATGGAGATGGTATGAGGATGAAGACACTACATGTGAAAATTCCAGTCATATTGTTACTGGCAAGGTAAACCCTCCAGAATTAATCATAAATTTGAGGACATTTTGACCGTGAAAAGATGCACTTATTTCCAACAGTGTATGTTATTCTGACTTGAACTGTCTTTTCAGACTGGAGAGTTAACTTGATGCCCTTAGGCTACCAAGAACAGCCAACACTCAGAAGTCACACATTCAGCTGTCAGGGAAGAAGAAATCCTTATAATCCTTTAATGTCATCTAGTCCATTCAGATCAAGAAACTGTATGGGCTTTTCTTAAAGGAGTCCAATCTGAGTTAGAATTCAAGAAGGGTAGGGTGTAGGGATGTAGGGTTCATATTAATGAAGTTTGTCCTGCACCCCAGGACAAGTTAAATTCCAGGTCCAGTGGAGGGTAAAGGGAGGAATATTTAAAGTTTTTGTAACTATTGTTTTAAAAGCCCATTTATACAGACTGGACTTTGTAATCAGTCCTTACCTTGGAAGAGTTGAGGTCATTGCTTCCCACTGTTGAATTCCATTTTCATTACTTCTCTCATGTGTTCTATTGAGCTGGCCAGTTTTATAATACAAGTAATAAAAGGCAGATTCCTAGCATGTGGCTATTGATGAAAGGTAATTAATTGATTTCATTGATTCCACCTTGTAGAAGAGTTGTCCTTTCTTTGAACTTGGCTTCCAAACAAATTATGGTTTGTGCTTATGCCATTTCCTGTCTTCAGGATCATGAAATATACTCTCTGGTGTTATAGAATCGCTCTCCTTTAGAGGAGATATGTCTGGAAGGCTGCAGCCAGAGGCTTCCTTTCCAAGAAGCTGTCATCTACTGCCCATCTCTCATCACCTGCACAGTCTTCTCTCTGGCTTGGACTTCATGTCCATATTTCAATTTCTCTTCTTTTTTTTAAAGACTTATTTATTTATGCATACAAGAACTGGGGTACAGGCCAGAGGTGCATGTTCACCAGAGACAGAGTGGGTGAAAATGCACTGCAGACTGACTGAAAATGCACTGCTGAGGGGAGTAGTGAGCCAGATAGGAGAGATCTGCTGCACCATGTGGATAGCTCCCTGGCTGGCTGGGGATTGAACTGCTGCTACAGAGGCTGTGGATAGCTTCACAGTGCTGTGCTTAACCCCTTGCACCACGAGGGAGGCCCCAGATTTCAATTTCTGGGAGATCCCATTAGCTAATCCCTCAATCTCTCATTTCACTTACCCTTGACCCTTCTCTCTCTACTTCCCTAACATTCCCTTACTCATGTGACTATGGAGAAATTGTATTCTTACCACTTTACTATAGGTTTTTGGAGCCATCCCTATTCTTCCAGAAGCAAGAGTTCCTATTTTAACTTCTCCCCAAATTGTTCTCTCTTGTTCAGTGATGTTTTGGTTGCCCCTTCAGCTCTGTCACATTCTCTTCTGCTCTGTTTAAATTTTATAGGCTGTTGGATGAAGAAAGACAGGTAAAATATCCCATCATTTCCAATGAGAAAATAGTCAAAGGGGATATGGAGAGAAGTAGACTGACTAGAGACAATGAATCTTCATTACTTTGATTTCCCAGAGAACAAAGAGATTTGAAAAAAAAGGTGGGGATAGAAAAATTCCAAGTGTAGTCTTGAAGAATGGGAGAATACATAAGGAGAATTTGTAAATTTGTAAAATGTTGCTGTTTAAGAGACAATTGGATGTTTTCAAGGAAATTTCAGCCTCTTTTTGCATTAGAAAGGAAGTAAGATTAAGAACATGTTAAAAAAAAAACAACTAGCTCAAGGATATGATACATGTGTTGCCATTTTCATCTGTGGTGGATATCATTAATAAATAATAGTATTCTGTTCTGCTGGGTCTGGAAGCAGTCTCAGATTCCATTCAGTCAGAATTGGTTCTTGTTAGAAAACCTTTTCAACTACTTGACTAATGTCTCTTCTTGATCTTTTTCTTTCTACCAACTTTTGGTAGGTGGCAGTTTAGCCTATGAAAAGCAATAGAAGAATTTATTAATCCACAAGTATTTGTTGAGTACCTACTATGTTCCAAATACTATTTTAATCATTTGAATATAAGAATCAAGTACCAGACTTGAGGAAAGGTAATTAATTATGAGGCATACATTCTGTTGAGAGAACAAGAAAATCATAAGGTAAACAAATAAGATTAATTCTGATTGTGACAAGAGATTTCTAAGTCTGTCACAGTAGTAAGTGATTGGATGGGCATAGCTTTCAGGTTGATCTAGGGATGCCTCTGTGAGAAAATGATATTTGAACTAGGATGTAAGTATGAACTGCTGGTCATATGGGAGAGCCAGGGTACAGAATCCTTGGTGTAGAGAATAGCACAGGTAAAGTCTTAGGAAAGAATAAGCTTGGCCAGTTTGAGGAATGGAGGAAGATATGTGTGGCAGAGCATAATGAATAAGGGTAAGAATGGTAAGAGGTGACCTTGGAGAGCAGAGGTGACCCCCTGGAGAGCAGGGGCTCCAGTGGGTAAACTGTGCAAGACCCTATAGGCCATGGGAAGGAACTTTAGGTGTACTGGAAATGCAATGTTGTGGAAGGCACTGGAGGAATTAGAAGGGGTCAATTTGATTAATTAAGGAGTGGCATGACTATTATATATTAAATTACAAAAACACGATTGCTATGGAAAGATTGGATTAGGGTAGGAGAGGAAGCAGAGATGTCAATAAGATGGTTTTCATCATTCATAGAGAGAGTTGTTGGTGAATTGGGGTGAAGGGAAGAGTGGAGATAGAAGTGGATGGATTTGGAGACATTTTTGAAACAGCACTTTCTGATCAACAGGAAATAGAAAGTTAATCCTACTATCTCAATTTCAGGTTGATTTAAGACTGATCCAATAATAAAACAACAGGACTAAAGAGGAATTCCTTAAAGGATTTCTTTGTTTTAATCTGTGAAGTCTCCTTCAACCATCATTCCTCTACCATTATTTATAAATCCCTTCTGTTTTGTGGAAAAAATCAAGGAATAGACTGGCTCTTGATCCTTATTAATCTTACCCTTTCCCAATATCTGTTTCATTTTCAGGCATACTTACCCCTCACCTTCTGGATTACTTTGTTGGATGCCTTTTATCAAAGCCTGGTCTGCTTCTTTGTTCCTTACTATGTGAGTCCTTGTTTGCTCAAAATATTTGTTATCAATGTATTAGTGTTGCTTCTTGCACCAATGTCAGCATATAGAATGGGTATATTTGCATAGACTGCTCAAATGATCAAGTTAATTATTAACTGACTAAATTACAACATTCCCTCCAACTCTGAAATATGTAGATAATAGTTTCAATTCGGAGAGTGAAGTGCCTAGTTGAATCCTATGGGTCTCTTTTTAGCTCTGTACTTCTTGATAATTTTCATCAGTCACTTAAATAAAATTGAATGTGTAGCCATATAATTAGATAAGGCAAAACCAGAGAGGCAAAGTCAGAATATGAAAGCTATTATTAGAAAACGCTGAACCAATTCTGCCAGATGACATATAATTTAAGGTCTTAGAAGTAGTCTCCTAAAACTGAAAAAAAAAAAAAGTTAAATGCAAAGACTAGAAGACTGGGACTAAATTAAAGAAAATGTGTAAAAATTAATTAAAAACTTAAGCCAGCATTGAGCACAAAGTAGCATGATAACAGCTACTTAACCACACACACCCTTCCCCAAAAGAAAATACTAACTTGAACATGGATGGACAACAAAAGAATGAAAAAAGTGTATAAATTAGTAATTTTCATTCTTTATTGCTATAAAATAATTTTAATTCATCCAGCCAGACTGTTCTGGATATACTGCATTTTAGGAGGAATGTAGAGAGGCAATGTGAAGTGTATTTGAAAGAGAATGGTTAGAATTGTAAAGATTAGAAAATCACATCATTTGAGGAAGGCTTTAAGCATAGGAAGACAAACATTAGAGAGGAGATATTTATCTAGCAGAGCTATAAACTCAGGATGGTCCATAATGGCTGCTTCCAAAGTTTGCAGCTCTGTTCTGTGGAATATATTGGCATTTCTCTATACCTTAAAGATCTAGCAGCATCAATATAAGTTTCCAGGAGGATGAATTATGATTCAGAATGAAGAGGAATTCCACCTGAGAAGTTCCAAGAGTAGGTGACTCTTCGGGAAAGAATCAGTCTCATTTTTCTAGAAACATTCAAATTTATTCTCAGTGACCCATTGTGAGAGAAAAGGGACTTAACCCTCCACTGTAGAATAAAGTGGTGATACTCATACCCCTGCATGGGCATCACCCTCTACAATCACCCCGTTGTCTGGTTTCTTTGTAGACCTACCAGGACTCAGACATTGACATCTTCAGCTTTGGAAACCCTCTGAACACAACTGCTCTGTTTATCATTCTCCTCCACCTGGTAATTGAAAGCAAGAGTTTGGTGAGTACTTTTCCTGTCTCTTAAATAACCTGAACCCTTATGTTTGAGTCAATATCTCTTATTAGCAGCAACCTGCTAAGTTCCTGCCTAGAAAACAGGTGGTAGTGAGAAGAGTAATGACTCCTAGAAGAAGAGGGATCATTGCCTGCTCTTGTTGATCACTGAGGTCCTTATGCTGAGGTTGATGTGCAACCACAGAAAGTGGAAACTCTCCTGCTTGGTCCCCCGGGTGTGATATCTATGGTAGATGATTGATGGATTGTGAGGCAGACTGGAGAAACAATTACCCTTCGATGGCCAGCATTCCTCAAGACCAAACTAACACTTCTCAGCTGAAATAAAAGGAGGTGTAATGTCTCTTCACATAACTGGAATCAGCCCTTTGAAACATAAATCATATCTTTTGCTCTCTGCTTAAAACCCTTCAGTTTATGATTATACTTGAAATAAAATCTGAAAACCCAAGACTACATGGATTGACCATGTCCTTACCAATAAGTTAAATGAAAGCTGGGTGCGGAGGAGAACAGTGGCTGCAATTAAAGGGTGCGTCATTAAAGAATTTCTCATCCCAGGGGGTGCTAGAGTCCATGGCCACTGAACATTCCTTGGATGACAATAAAAGTCATCCATTCTGAGACTAAAGAGCTTCCCTTCCAGCTCTTTCTCACCACCTCACTGCCCCCTCCTACCTCCTTGTAGGTTTTGACCTGGTGCCCTTTGACTTTAATTTCCTCATTCCCCTGCTCTTCTTGTATTGCAGACTTGGATCCACATGCTGGTCATTGTTGGCAGCATTTCATCTTATTTTTTCTTTGCCTTGGTTTTTGGAGCCATGTGTGTAACTTGCAACCCACCATCCAACCCCTACTGGATTATGCAGAATCACATGCTGGATCCAATATACTACTTTGTTTGCATCCTCACAACCTGTGTTGCTCTTTTGCCCAGGTAGGCTATTTGCTTTATTACCAAAAAAAAAAAAAAGTGAAATCATAGACTTGGAATTATTTAAGCAACCACTAAGTACACATGGCAGACTATGCAATCTCATCATGGAGATGTCTGTGTAGTACTTAAAATATTGGTTTTAAATATTTGCCAGCGAAACAAAGTTTCAGCAAACTGGGAGATTTCTTTCTATCATGGAAAATTCTAATGCTGATCTATCATGGAATAGTGCACAGGGATAGGGCAGCTCTGCTTCACAAGGTTATCCAAGGACCTACCACTTTTCTTAGATCTCTTTTGTTCTGCCATCTCATGAGGGTGTTGCCTTTGTCTGTCTGGTTGAAGATGCGTCACCGTCAGCACATCCTTGTCCGTGCCTGCAGGAGGGAAGAGAGAGAATTAGAAATCAAGCAACTTCACTTTCTCCTCTCTTATTTGCTCTCCCTCTCCCTCTCTTACTGTGTGAATGGCTAAGATCTGGGGGTTTCTATAAGGTTTCATTTATCCTGCCTGTTTCAGTTTTACTCGATTTCTAACATTGTCTGGAATAGAAATGCCTGGAAACTATGCATGGGGTTTTAACCTACAGATTATTTGAACATGGGGTTCTTCATTTTTATAGTTTTATGAACTCTGTTTAGCTGAAAATGCAAGAGCTAATAGTTGTCCTACCTTATTGAACATGATAGGAGAATCAAAATGGTGATTTCACATTATTTTCTAAAAGGCTAGGTCACTTGTGGTACACAGGCCAAAGCTGGCCTGCCACCTGTTTTTGTAAATAAAAGTTTATTAAAATGTTGCCATGCTCATTAATTTATGTATTGTCCATGATAGCTGCTTTTGTACCACAACAGGGAGCTCAATAGTTCCAACAAAAATTGTCTGGCTTGCAAAACTTGAAACGTCACTAGCTAACCTATTGGAAAAGCTTGTCAGCCCCACCAAAATACCATTAAAAGGCACAATGGGCAGCAACCCTTTATGGGTGACCGATATCCCTTCTATAAGTGAGGCATAAGAAAACCCACCATAGTTGTTCTATGGTAATAGTTATATACTTAATATCCCCATTAAACTGAGATGCTTTTGTATTGTGCACCCTTATTACTTTCAGAAGAAAAAGCAGAAGTGAACTTGTAGAATTTATGAAGAAACAAATACTTTAAAGTTATGGCCATAAAGAATCCCTGCAGTAGAATTAACAGTACAAGTCCATGTAATATTGTGATAAGCTGAAGATGACGCCCTGAAAGACATTCTGTGAATGTTACCTTATGGACCAAAAAAAGACTTTGCAAATATGATTAAGTTAAGGATCTTAAAATAGGGAGATTATCCTGGATTATCTGGGTGGACCTCAAATGCAATCACAAGTGCCCTTAAAAGTGGGAGGCAGAGGGAAATATGACAGACCGGGGCAGGCACTTTGACTGTGTGGAAGAGATTTTGGCCAGCAGTCAAGGAGTATTGGCAGCCATCAGAAGCTAGACAGGGAGGAATGGATTCTCCCCTAGATCCTCTAGAGGGGGCGTAGCCTTTCTTTCTTTTTTTTTTTTATTATTACTATTTTTTAAGAATCACAGACTTTTTTTTAAAGATTTATTTATTTATGCATACAAGAACTGGGGTACAGGCCAGAGGTGTAGGGGGCAAGAGGATTCATCAGAGACAGAGTGGGGAACAGCACAGGCAGATTGAAATACACTGCTGAAATCACCTGCTGAGCAGCAGGTGAGTCAGGAGAGGTTTGCTGCGCCATGTGGGTTGTTCCCTGGCCAGGGATCGAACTCATGCTGCAGTGGCTGCAGATAACTTCATAGGTTTTGTCTTAACCCCTTGTGCCACTAGGGAGGCCCCTATTTTTTTTTTACATCGTTGTTCATTTTTAAGCAATATTTTCTAACACATTGATTTTAACTCAATGAAACTGCTTTCAGAATTCCTGACCTTCATAATTGTGAGAGGATAAATTGTTGTTGCTCTAAGCATCAAATTTGTGTTAATTTGTTGTAGCAGCCATGGGAACCTGAAGCAGACTTGGAAATGTTTTGAAATAGGATAATGGACAGGCAATGGAAGAACTTTGAGGCACATGATTGGAAAACTATTAGGCTTTCTTAAAAAAAACTGTAGCCAATATTTACTATAGAAATATTGACACCAAAGTTACTGCTGTGAGGATTCCAGAGAAAGTGACAAGAGAAAGCCATATATAGAGAAAGCCATATTTTAGAAAAGACATATAGCATCATAAGATAAACAGAACATTAGTAGAAATATGAATGTTAAGGCACTGTTTGTGAGGATTCAGAAATAAATGAGAAACATGCTATGGAAAATGAGGAACCGGAATCTTTGCCACATGACAGAAAACATAGCTAAATTGTGTTCTACTGTGATACAGAAAATAAAATTTGTAAATGATAGGTTTGGAATATTTAGCTAAGATTTCTATGCAAAGTTGTGAAGTTTTCTTCTTGCTGCTTTAAATAAAACAGGAGAGAAAATAGATCAAAGAAAGAACTACTAAGCCTAGAACTAGATCTAGGAAATTCTTAGCTTATCTGGATTTCTAAAGTTGCTAAAAGTTAGAAGTATGCTCTAGCAAGAAGACCAAGAGTATAGCTGGAAACAGGCTAATTCTGAAAAGACTGGGTGTGTAAATCATAGATCCCTTCAACCATCTCAGCAGCCACCAGAAGATGAACTGAGATTCTACAGAAAAGATCTGCGTTTTAATGACATAAAGCCCCAAGACATACATTGGAGACTCCCATGTGTTTTGAGAATGCTATAGCAGTGCAAGCACTGTCAACTTGAACTGAAAGGGACAAGTCTACGGTAATTTGTTATAGTAGCCAGAGGAAACTAATAGCTAGTGTTTTTTAAACATTTGCTAGATGTCAATACTCTGCTTTTCATTTATTATCTTTTAACCTAACATTAACCCTATTAGGTAGCACAGATTTCTTTAATAAGCACTTACCAGACACTAAATATTTTCCAAGTGCTTTACAAATATTAATTAATGTAATACTGTTATCTCCTTCTAATAGTTTATCTTCTCTCGTTACCAAAAAGTGACAAGTGACCACAGACCTTTTATTCTTTCTAGCCAGTGAGCATCTTTTGTGTTCCATGTTGCCTTTGAGGTGAATGTAACTCTGTGATGCTTTTGTCACCTAGGTTTATATACCGAGTTCTTCAGGGGTCCCTGTTTCCATCTCCAGTTTTGAGGGCTAAGCACTACGACAAACTGAGTCCAGAGGAAAGGATTAAAGCTCTGAAGAAGTGGAAAGGTGCTTTAAAGGTGGGTCAAATGACACCTAAGTATGCTGACCACTCAGCTGCCAAGTCAGAGAGACAACCCATGTCTGATTCTTCTGGAGTTTTTGCAATGATGTCAACAACTTCTTGTAATGTTGAGCAAGGACACTTGTCTGTATCTGAAACTGCTTTAGATTTAGACTACTCAGAAACAAATGCTTTAGGGATGGCTGGACACTCAAAGGATTAAAAAGCAGGTTACCTTCCTTGGAGTTGCAAGTATTCCTATAAGTTTGGAAGAGAGACTTTGAAGAGGCACTTCTATCAAGCATGAATGTCTTGGATTTTTCTGGACTTGGAAAAACCCATGTGATGACCTTTATTGTATGCGTGTAGATACATTTCCATAAGAGAATAGTTTGACCAGGCAGAATTTAAGGAAGTGAAGTTTTTAATTTATGATCAAATGCTTCTATGAAACTTTTTGGATTTTGTAAAAGCACTTTGATTGTTTTAGAATATAAACATTTTCAAGGGGATTCATTTGAGATTTATTTATTATTTTGGGAAGATTCTAGGAAAATGCTTCAAATGAGCAGACTCCAATCTGAGTTATTTTTCAATTAAGAAAAGGGAGTTTATAGATTAATTAGTTAGAACTCAGAGGAGATTTCCATATGCAAAAATGTTACAAATGGTTAATTTCCCGAGAAAAAGTTGTAAGAACCTTTTAAGTAACAAAAAAGGACAAAAATTGAACTACTTAAAATACAGTTAGTAATAACAACAGCTTACTTCCTATAGGAAGATGCCTTTGATCTTCTCACTGAAGATGTTAGGTGTATCTTTCTTCATTTCAGTGTTCTTCTGAGGAGGAGTCTTTACTGGAAAGGGGCAGGCAGATGCCATCATTTATAGGAACTTGTTCCTCTCTCAGCTTCCAGTCAAACGAAGACCCTTCTTGAGGTCTGCCTCTGTGCAGATGTTGTAATGGAAAAACAGATTCAGAGATAAGGCAAACAGAATCAGCTGAGCTGACGCAAATTTCTAATTTCTAAAACTGCTAAGAGCCTGACTAAAATGAGACAATTTCAAAACCATTAAAAGAGGTCATGTGAGGGATCATAGTCTTTACTATGACCTTACAACACCAGAGTGTTGTAACAGATATTATGAATTGATACTAATATGGATGGTTTTCAGTAGGATTCCAAGAATTTTTTTAATGCATTTTTAGGACAGGAATGTCTATAGCAATTTAACTGCTGTTATAAATCATCTATGCTGCTTTTAGTTGAAACAAAGAGTCCAGGTGATACTATAATAAGGTCCAGGTGATACTATAATAAGGTCATGTATTCTTAAATTCTTTTAAAATTCACCTGAAAATTGTCAGCTATCTATCACCCAGAATTTCCTTCATGAAACAGCCATGTTCATGTTCTCTATCTATAACAAGGTCTTCTTAATGACTATTAAACTGTTATTCTCAGGGCTTCCTCTACTTCCTGCCTACTGTCCTGGTCTCACTTTGTTTTTTTGTAGTCTTGTGATATTATTGCAAATGTCTTTTATATATACTGTGATTTCTAGAATTTTCAAAATCCCATATGACCAGTGGAAGTAGCTTTCTGCTTCCTTTGTTTTTTTAACAAACAGTTTAATAAATAATGTGTACTGAAAAACTGTCATCACTCTTGAAGACACGCACTGCATCCAGCTGTAATTGGTACCAGAACTTAGAAGGAAAATCTCAAAACAAACCTTTTACCAGAATATTGTTTTGGCCTTTTTTCTTATGGAAAAATCAATGATACCATCTGTTATCTTCAGCAGTTGTTAATCATTCCCTGAGATCAACATCTTAAAAATAAAAATGTAGAGAGATAGGCACTTGTAAATAAAGGATGAGAATCTAAGGATAAAAAGAATAGTCAAAAAGACAAAAAAAGGTCAATCCCGAGCAAAGGAAATACCTGTTAATTTAAGTAGAGGAAAGTGATCTGTGTGGTCATTTTATGGGGCCTCAATCTTATAACTTTATCTATAGTTATCTATAATTATAATCAAAATCCCTAGAGCTCTGAAACCTGAAAATTTTTTCATAAAATTAGCCACAAACTCAATTCCCTAACATATATGAGACTATATACTTAATGCAATTTTTGTATATTTTTATGTGTATCATTTATTAAATGTTTGAAAAATTCTGGATTTTGAAACAAATTTGGCCCTCAGGTAAAAGAAATTTGAGAATGGATTAAACTTTAAAGCAGCTCATTTTAAAAAGAATAACTTTTACACAAAGTTACCCAAGGTGAGGTGGGTCTATTACATTTTAGTATTAAACACATTTCCTTGAGTTTTGGGGTGGGGGGCAAGAGTTATATCATTACTCCCAGGAACCAAGAAAAACTGATGACAAAATGTGTTATACATATTTGGGAATGTAATTTTACCACAAAAAAATTGATAAAATCTTTGGATCAGTTTCCCCAAATACACTCTAGACACTAAAATTCCCTGTATTCTTACCAGGGATAAAATTTTTCCTGGACACTCAATGGGTGATTTCAGACTACTAGCAATCTCTCAGACTAATCAGAAAATCATCTATCTGTGCTATAAAAAGCAGGTTTGTGTGAGAGGTAAGAGGTAAATTTTGGCTGGAAGCTTAGTGGCAACTATTACAATGATGACAGTTTTCTGGGACTTGCTATTCACGCTCTCTATCCATCAAAAACAAAAACAATGTTACATTCATTTTATTTGCATCATGGATTATTTAAAATAAGTACAATATATACATTTTGCTGAACACAAATTGAGGCACGCTATAGTAGTTACGTGAAGTCTGTATCTACACCTATAACAAAATTGACATGTTCTTAAACTTTCATAGAATTGTGACTACAATTCAATTGCTGGATTTCACATTCTCAATAGGTTTATACAAACTACAGAACAGGAGATGAATAACATGGAAAGTGTCAAGACAACTTTTTGAATTTCAAACACGTATATACAGCAAAGAGTACAAAAATACATGTATAAAATTGCAGGTAGTCTCTGTGGAATGCTGAGGCAGTCCAGGTTGCTGGTGTGGTGAGTAGGCAGTCCTACTTGTTGAAAAGGCATTTGGATGTTGCAAAATGAACTTACCTAATTCAATTAGGTAGATGTGAACATTTGTGTTTTGGAACTTTTTAGTGTGGAAAAATACTTAAATCACTAATTACTTCAGAAACCAATGTGCGTCAAGTGGTCTAGTGCTTAATAGCATTTAAAATTTTAATTATCAATGGGGCATAATGGCAACACCAGCTATTAAATATCTTTCAAGGAAAATTACAAAATCTTTTACTCCATGCAAAGTCTTACTTTGCTTTGAGATACATTTCTGTGACTTTTTGGTATGGACGAACATTGGAAAATATTTCATTGGGAATAGGGTGTAATTTTCTTTTTTAAAAAAATTGCACATCATTAGTCTAAAGTAGTTCCCCTTTGCCAAAGTTTAAACTTCAATGTTACCTAGGAAGAACAAAATATTTCCCCTGAATATTTTCCAAGTCATGGACATCTCAGTTAGCCAGCTGATTATCACTGAACAAGCCCCAAAGAGTCTATGGAGAATTTTCTATAAAATTACAACTTTTATTTAAATTCAGAATGGGCAGTCTTAGAAAGTTAAGTGCTAATGTTGTTATTTAAAGAGCTTTGTGTTCACTATCTCTTGCTATTTAAGCTACTTAAATGGTTGGTACTTGTCTTTTACCTCTGACTGCCTTTCACAAGTACTTAGAATGAAGCAAACTCTTGAAAAGTAATAGTAAATAATTTAAAAGTAAATTATCTGGGTTATTAATGAAGCAAGCTTCCAACTTAATGTTGAAATCTGCCGCTATGTTATTGTGCTTAAAAACAAGAGTTAGCATAACTTCGTTAGCCTAAATCTGGAGCTTGATGTCCTTTATGTGATCGGATAAAAGGGAATTTTCAATAACCTGTCACCTAAGCACCTGCGTTATTCTAACTTTCTCAAGAATTGATCCTTTCACACTACAATCATGGTTAGGCCTGGCCACAGGACAAAAGCTGCTTTGCTTAGTTTTTTTGTTTTTTTTTTTTTTAAATGACTTTCATTAAATTTGAAATAAGAGAAAGTTGAAAAAAAAAAAGTTGAATCAAATCAAACCAAAACACACATGAGCACAGTACAGTGTGCAGTGAACATCCCTGCCCATGAAAAGTGCTTCTGTACAATTCTCCGCAGGAGATTCCCACAGTCAAGAAGGCCATTTTCGAGTATAGCTGGCTAAAGTCTTTGATCATCTTTGGAATTAGTTTAGGAGAAAGGTATGGATATATATTTGTCTTTTAATCCAGTCGACAAAGTATGACACGTTGCTATAAACTCCAGGTCCCAGGACTTTGGAAAAGCAGATCGAGCCCCATGAAGTTAAACCAAATAATGTCCACTGTCCTCGAGGCTGCTCACAAACAAGAGGCCCGCCGCTGTCACCCTGTAATGAAGGGCAGTGGGCGTTAGTCACTGGGACTTCAGAGTCCTCCAGTGTCCATGTTGTCCCACTGGTACAATGATGCCAAATCAAATTATTTATTGGAAAATTTTCACAAAGCTTTTACTGTCAGCCTATGGTGGAGCATGCTTTCCACCACACCAATGGAAACTTCAAGTGAATGTGTTAAGATATAATCTTTACAAGGCTAGGGGTGCCCATGGAAAGGATATTCCTTCAATGAAATCAGAAGACATTAAATTTCTGCACTTACCAAAATATTAAATGTGTTTAATTTAGTGTATCAGAACTGATTCTTTCATAATGGAAGTCATTCTTTACAATGATCCATTTCATAGAAAATACCCAATCTAGAACAAAGATCCTTTCCCCCCACAAAACGCTGTTAGAAAAATAGCCTAAAATAACTACTTTCAAGATTCAATGCCCTCTAGCAGCCTCAATTCTGCCGTCATTTCTCTACAGTTCGCTTTGGTTAAGTTTTGTCTGTTCTTTGTTTTCTTTCTTTCTATTCTGCAAATAAGTGAAATCAGTTGGTATTTATCTTCTAAGTGAATGCTTTTAAAGCAAAATTTACTGGAAACATTTTCATTAGACATATTCCACAATCATTTTTTTTTTTTTTTTACTGAGTAATAGTTCAACCTAAGTTACTTTAAAGTTGTTGCCGAACTGAATCTCCCAGCTAACCAGGTGGCCACTTACCATGCATGAATCAACTGTACCAGACTCATAGCCAGCACATATCATGCGCGTGGTGATGGTCTTCATGTCGAAGTAGGACTGACACTGCTCCAGGGAAATAATGCGGACTTCTCCCTCTTGCAGCTTAAAAGGCACTGGAGTTTTTTTGTTTTTTGTTTTTTTTTTTTAAGATATAAGAAGAGAAAATGATGAAAATAAGAACCATCTTCTTTACGTGAAATGTAATCTTAAAGATAAGGTTCATTTGGGATCAGAATTGTCTAATTACATGTAGTCATAGCAATCACCTAGTCCAAACACTTTAGTTGTTAAAAAAAACAAACTGAGGCATAGACTGATTATCTTGGTTAGGCAACATGCACTATGCTTTCCCCCCTTAGCAGAGGATGCAACAGAACTAAAAAATTATAACACAGGGTTGGAAATGTGATTGTGCAACTTGTGAATGGGGGCAGAACTGTGTAAGTGCTAATGAGAGGCTCCCGGGGACTCTGCCTGCAGACCGTGCAGTGCAGACAGTAGAAACAGGGCTGTGACTAAGAGGCCTCTTCTCTCATGGTGGCTCCAAAGCATTGCTGCTGGTGGCCTGGAGAAAGATTTTGAGATGTGGAAAAGGACTTTGAGCTTGCACCTGAGCTTGGGCATTTAAATACTGTGATGAACATATTGACATCTATGAGTTGCAAGGAGGGAGAGCATGAACAGTCACCATTTAGGGCTACGCTTTCACCAAGGGCTAGGAAGCAACAGTGTGCTTTAGTTACCAGCAGAAAGGCAAATGCTCCCGAGGACCCTGGCTTACTTTTGTTGCCCATGTGCCCCCAGCCTGTGATAGAACAGTACGTATCAGGTTCTAGCGACTGCTCTGGGTTGGGTAAGCAGACAGGCCTGACGTAGCTGGTTTCCTTGATGTCCTCACTGAGCTCCACGATGCTGATGTCATAGTCCACCACCGCACGGCTGTAGCGAGGGTGCAGGATGATGGTCTTCACCAGGCGTGTCTGCATGAATGAGGACGGGTGGTCTAGATTGTTGATGCCGAACACTACTTTCCAAACGGCTGCATTCTCTCTCCTAAAATAATAATTCCAGAGCGGTTGACATCTTAAGCTTGGACTTACATTTTAAAACTTACATGTGACTTAAAAAATCATGGCTCTTGGGCCTCCCCGGTGGTGCAGCGGTTGAGCGCTGGGTTGTGAAGCTGCCCGCGGCCTCTGCGCCGCCGGTTCAATCCCCGGCTGCTCCCCGGCCACCGGAGGAGGGTCCCACATGGCGCGCAGACCTCTCCTGCCGCCCGCTGCTCCCCTCAGCAGTGTACTTCGGTCCTTCTGCCTGCTCTGCTCCCTGCTCTGGCTCTGGTGAATTCTCTCACCCTCCCGTGCTTTTGACTGTACCCAGTGCATGTATAAGCAAAACAAACAAACAAACAAACAAATAAATAAAAACATGCCTCTATAAAAAATTTAAAAAAAAAAAATGTTTAAAAAAAAAAAAAAATCATGGCTCTTTCCAAGCCTACCTCCCAATGGTTTTACGAGAAGCATGTGTATAATGCAATTTGTAACTGGGAGCTGTTTTGGAAAGCAGAACTCGTGCTTCTTGAATGGGCTGTTATGGAAAATAAAATGTGTTTAACTTGAAAGGCAGGAAGGTAGTTACTTGTTTTATTCAGTAGGAAAGAGGATGAAAAGACATAAAGAAGAGAGAATACATGAGAGTAAAAATGAAAGTGTAGAATAAAAAGCCAAGGTTAAGAGATTCCTACAAGAAGGAATAGGTACCTCCAAGAAATGTCAAGTTTTCAGGGAAACCTTAGGAAAATTGCAAGCCAAGGGCTTAAAAAGGTCACCTACAACTTCCAGTGTCAGTCTCCAAATCATTGTTTTTGAATATCTTCCAGCAATATTCTAATTAGGTCCCACCATAAAAACTTGCCTCATTTCATTTCTGGGACTCTCCATCTCTAGAATCTCATCAAACCTCATGCCTTCTCCCACTCAGTCTTCCTTGCTGTGTCCTCTGCTCTGCAGGTTGAAGTACTGCAGGGCTCTCCTTTCAACCTTCTCATTCCATTCTCACTCCCTTGAAGATTTCATCCAGTGCAGTAGTTTTAAAAACCACCCATATCCTGGTAACTTCCAGTGTGCATCTCCAGCCCAATTAGCTATTTAACACACTCGATTGTCTGCTAATAGATAAGATTTACTAGTGGTTACCAACATCTGGCAAATGTTCTTGGCATTCAGAATTCATTTGCCATCATTTAATATAATGGCACATATTTAATAATTATTGAATTATTAAACAGTTGAGTCATCTCTTTTTCTTATACTCAATATTGATGCAAGTCCTCACCATTCTACTTTGAAATACATTCTGGGCCTCTTGCTCCTCCCTCTTTGCCACTACAAACCTAATCTCAGCTACTCTTATCTACTTGGACCATGGCATTGGCCTCCCAAATAATGGCCTTTTCTCTACTCTTAGCTCCTACAGCCCATTTTCCTTATAGCTGTCAAGATGATGTTTTTAAAAAATAAAATTAGATAAGTCCCCCATCTCTTACTCATAGTTCTCCAAGGACTTGGAATAACTTACTTGAGAGAAAATATAGACTCCTATCCATAGCCTCTCAGGCTCACATGACCTTCTCCATTCCAACCTTAAGGATTTTCTTTCTGTTTTTGGACATGCTAGGATGTTCTCAATGCAGGGCTATTCCCTTGCTCTTCTCCTAGCTCTCACAGGATTTCCACCTTTATTCCTTCTTTTCATTAGGTCTAAGGCTCAAACATCACTATCTCAGAGGTGTCCCCCTTGAACACTCTATCTAAACTTTACCTATTACTCTCTATTCTTGAGTTTGCTTTCATTTTTGTCACATTTGCACAGCATAATATTAATGATATAGACACATGCACTTGTCTAGTCTCTGTCTTGCATGCACAATGTATGTTCTGTGAGGGCAAAGACATGGTGTCTTGTTCACTGCTATATCAGAGGTCCTACTCTCTGGTAAGCAGTGAGCTATCAGCAAGCATTTGTTTAATGATGGCTCAATGGGTGATGCTATAAAATATGTATTACTGGCAATTCCAACCGCTTAAGCAAAGTCTATTCTTCATCATTCCCTTCATCCCTTTCTCCATTTGCATTCCCTCCTCCTACAGGGTAGGTCAGGACCAAGGATGTGGACATTTGGTGGATCACAGTGTTGGAGGTGGAGATTTCATGTGGACATTAGTGTGGTCAAGTAAGCTGCCATGTCACCTCTATTGTCATTAGGGAGCTTGCCCAAGTAAAGTAGGTTGACCACTCAGAACAGTTGGTTTTCCACCAGTCTGAATATTGAATCATCTGGGAAACTTTTGTGTACAGATGTTATGGGTACTGCCCCATTTCAATTGAAAGCTCTTGGACGGGGATATAGGAATCAGTATTTTTAAGAGTTCCCTAGGGAATATCAGACAAAACCCCATTTGCACTCAGTATGTCCTTGGCATTTCTTTCTTCACTACCTTCTCATGCTTGGCAAAAATTCAAAGGTGAGATTTCAGGAGGGCTAGGAAGAAAGTGGCCAAGGTCAGCATTCAACTTTTAATATTGTCGAGACTAGATTCTACTAAAAGACTCCTTTACAGAGTTCAGGCATTCTATCCTTTTTCCTTTGTAAAGAAAAATTATTTCAGACATATCAAAACAGGAGATGATATCATTATTTGACTATCTTGATAAATAGACAGAGACAGACAGATGATAGCAATACTTCTACAGCAAATATTATGTTAGGGCTTACAATATTAAGCAAGAAAGACATGATCCTTTCTTATACAAACTATAAGTGAAGATGGACAGTTAAAGAAACAATGATAATTAAATGCAGGAAGTGCTATCTCATGAACATTAAGGATAATGTTACAGAAGAATTCTTTTGCATTAAATAATGACATCAAAACATGCCTTTCTGGGCCTCCCCAGTGGCGCAGTGGTTGAGTGCTGTGCTACAAAGCTGCCTGCAGCCTCTGCAGCACCTGTTCTATCCCTGGCCACCAGCGAGGGTCCCACATGGCATGCAGACCTCTCCTGCCACCCGCTGCTCCCCTCAGCAGTGTATTTCATCAGTCTGCCTGTTCTGTTCCCTACTCTGGCTCTGGTGAATTCCCTCACCCTCCCGCGCTTCTGACTATACCCAGTGCTTGTATAAATATTTTTTTTAAAAAATGCCTTTCTTCCTCTCTGCCCCCTCTTCTCTCCGCCTTTCCTCCTCCTCCTATCTTTCCTCCTTCCTACCTCTGTCCCTTGTCTCTTTTCATTCCCTCGCTCCCTCCCTCTCTCCTTTTCTCCCCTGCTCCCTCCCATTTAGTCCAGAGGACTAAGTACATGACCTTTAGATGAATTCAATATTCAGTTAAGATTCCATTAAGACATCGGAAATAAAGCGATAATTTATTTTAAATTTCTGTCAATTTAATAGCTTTTTACCCTTGAATCGAAACTACTAAGATTTGGTTGTAAAAAATACTCATCCATCTGTTTAAATCACAAGCACTATTTCAAAGAGTTGAATACTCCAAATTATTTGTAACAAAATAAAATTATATGAAAATTCCTGACTTGATTACTATAATGGGTTAATCTAATCTAACAGTAAAGAGTTAGTGTCATTAGTTCAATGTCATTAACTTGTATAAAGTAGTCTGTTGTGACATAAGTTACTTTCTGATGGCATTAGTATCCACCAAAAGTAAAAAAAAAAAAAAAATAGTAAGCAGGAAATTCACATACTTTTTGTATTTAATGAAGATACTGCTGTTTTCTTTTTGTTATGAGTGTGGTTGGAAAAATAAGTCTCTTTTAATGTATTGTTTCAAGCTGGGAAAGACAACAACTTGCTCTTTAAAGGGAGATGTGCATAAAGGTATGTTGGTATATTAAGCATGAGCTAGAAAGCATGAATCAAGAATAATAATCAAGAATCCACCTTGCCTGAGTGGATGCAAAAACAAAGAGAACTTAGGGCTATATAAAAGCCACATGACTCTAGTTTCAGTTCAAAAGAACCCAGCAGAGACACAAGAACCATCTACGTTCCCATGACCATTTTAGTGAACAGTTAAACTGGGCTGCAAAGGAAAAAAGCCAAATATAGCAACTGAAAATCTTTGGCATAAAGAGGGCTTTTCCTCAGTGATCTGTCAGACATCAGAGCAACAGCAAGGAGGATTGACACATTTTTAAAGAATTTTGCATGAAGTTCCTGATACTGAGAGTAAGCAGGTCCAGGTGAAGTCAGGTGAAGACTGACCATCAACAAAAATGGTTAAAGAAGATGTCGAGGGCTTTCCTCCTTGTTCTAGATGGTATTTTCTTATTTGCAATTCATATTTAATTTGCTTCATGTTTATACTACTGTTTTAATTGTGCATTTACATTTTAGCTAACATAGAGATAACATTTCAATGGAGAGTTCTTCAATTACCAGATCAAAGGCGAGAACCCAGCTATTTATATACATTGGCTGCATTAGGCATCCAGGGATGTTTATACAGAAATTCAGACAGAAGTTCTGGACACAGTAACCTATCACTTGGGTTCAAATTTGTATCCTCAACTTTAGTTTAGACATGAAAATGTCACATTTCCACTTAATTTAGCCATATAAGTTTAGAGACTTTCTCTTTTATCTTCTTTCGGTTTTCCTGATTTAGTTTTGATTATCCTATATTTATGACATCTTTTTCAGAAAAGAAAATTAAAATTTTTATTAACACTTTGGTAGAATTCATGCTGTTCTACACTGTTACTCCAGAAATAGCCTGGCTAAGGGATGATTTGGAGGAAGTTAGAAGGTTATTAAATCTACACTAAATAAAGAAATATGGCATGACAACATTGCTGTTCTAAACAGCTTACAAAACTCTTATTTTTAATATTGTGCTCTGCCTTTGGTCTTTTTAAGGAATTCTCTGTAACACACACTGTGAACAGATTTTGGAATAAGGTAACCACAGAGTGAATATGTGCAAGCCTCTGGGGTGGGCCTGTTAGCAGTGTGTCAGGCCACCAGCTCTGCCTACCGCAAGGCCATCTGCCTCTCCACCCCTGCTGACTGCCACCCTGGCAGAACCTCAGTGTGCTCTGACCTTCCAATTGTTCAAGGAAAGACAAAGTCTTGGATTTGATATAAAGGATCCATCGTTTTAAATTCAGGCTAAGAGTTTACAATACGAAAAGCAGATCAGTAGCTGGAATCGTCATTAGCACAAAATCTCAATCGTTTCCAAGTATTTCTAGATGTGTTTCAAATGATCTTCTCACCAATAATGAGGTATAAGTAAAAATTCTTATTGTATCTAGAAAAGAGAAAAAAATGCCACAGAGCGATGGGTGACTCATGGAAAGTCATAATTAGTGGTGGTAACAGAGCACCATGCTGGTTCTCTAGCCCCCAACCACTTCTTTCTACTAAACCTCCCTAAAACCAAGGGAAGGCGCCATGGCATTAACACAGAAACCAGGCACTGGCCAAAGGAGGGAAAGCATGAAGAGTGGCTCCTACCCTCAATGACCCAAAATACATAGAAACAGTTTTGGTTATCTTGGGTAACTAGAAGTGAAAAAGTAAGATAATGTGGTTGGGTTGATATAGCAAGGATGGTCAGGGAAGGCCTTTAAAAAGCTGACATTTAAATTGAGACTTGAATAACAGGAAGGAGGCATTTGTGTAGCTCTACAGGAGTGTTCCAAACCCACCAACTGGAGTGGGCTGGAGAGAGAATGAGAACTGGAAAAAATGGAGATGGCAGAAACCCCTTTTCAGAGTTTTACTGTGGGCTAGTTTTACTAGCCCAAAGGAAGAAATAGTTGAAGTCAAGAGAAAAGGAGTTTGATGTTAGTTACATGAAGGCATGTTTTCTGAAGAGAATGATCCAGTCAAAAGGGGAGAAATTAGTTATGTGAAATAGCAATAGGTGAAATGGAAAAGAATGACTGCCAGAGTTGATAATTACCTAGGAGATGAAGCGATCATAATGGGGACATAGCCTGGACTCAATAAAGTGAGTCAAGCCAAAACTTTCAGTTCCTTTTCTGAGTAAATTACAGAACTGTTAGATTATGGTACATCATTGAGCCCAGTGATTCTGTTCTGAAGAACGAGAGAGCTGTCCAGAAATAGGTGAAAGTTAAGTAATATGAAGGGTCCAAACACTGGAAGAAAGGCATTAGCCAGACACCTAGTAATCTGCATTCTTAGAGAGTGTTCTCCAGTTTTGAAGAACATGGATATAGGATTTTAAAATGTGTTCACATCAGCTCTTCGTTGGAGGTCTGCCTGGTGTGTATGGCAGAAAGACCTAGTGACAAAAATGTTGAAGGTCACAGAGACAGGAGAAAAGTGATAAAGCAGGATAGGAGGTATGCCTATGGAGGAAGGAAATGAGGACATTGGTGAACAGATAATAGCTGAGAATGCAAACAAGCCACCAAAATTTTTGTTGCGGGGAGGAGCTAGTGTGCTAGAAGTCAAAACATGGTGACCTGGCAGGCTAAGGGTTGAGAACATCTAGTGGGATGATAGCTTCTCATACAGACTTCTTAGAGAGAAATTCTGATATTTACTATTGTGTGTTGGTGTAGGAAGTTAATCCTAAAGTCTTCAGGGGTAGAAGGAGGCAGTGAGATCACTTGTTAAATTACCCCCACAAATCATTCTTTGTTTCTTAAAACTTTGAAGTTGAATTTTTATTAAGGATTGTGGGACTTAATCTGATCAACTTAGTAGATCATGTTTTTTAATTTCATTGGGGATTTTAAAATACCCCTCCACGGAAGAGTAAAACAATTTTTCTTTTCCTTACCAATATAATTAAGAGACAGAGACAGACAAGAATACCTACAGATCGATTACACTGGGCCTCATTAGAGCATGGGATCAGGCTGTGAAGTCAGTCTCATTAATTGCAACAATTGATGGCTCCAGAAGAGAGTAAGGATTACAATTAAAAGTTCTCAAAAGCTTTCAGGGCCACTGGAGAGATTGCAAAATAGAATTAGCACACATTCAAGCAAATTTTTGTTTGAAGTTGGGTACTTTCAAGCTTTATGAATGGGACAGCCCTCTCTTGACAGTTCTGTTAAGTTTAGTGTTCCATGAAATTTCACCCAGGCCTTTGATATCATATTCCATCCATTTCCTTAATTATAAGCACATATTTCTTCTCTATTGCTAAATTTCTCCTTAACCTCACAGATCTGTCAGTGAAGTAGGAAAATTGAATCCAACATATGGAAATGACAAAAGTAGCATATGAACCTGGAATAACTAGCATGTAAAGAGTGTTATTCCCTAAAAGAGCAGTTGGATTCATTTAGGTAATCATCTTTTGATTAATGTATTCCTTCCAGTATAATCTGCTTATCATGGCATTGTAAATCAGAACTGGAAAAGACATCTGGAAACATCTGTCCTCTCCTAAAGCAATAACTTTGCCGTGTATTTCCTGATATACTACACAGATTCTTGGAATCATTTTGGGTTTGACACATTTCTATACAGCACAAGGAACCACTGTCAAAATAAAAAGATAGCTTACTGAATGGGAGAAGATATGAGAAACATTTATCAGACAAAAGGTTAATATCCAAAATATATAAAGAACTCATAAAGTTTAACAGCAAAAAAAAAAAATGGGCAAAGTATCTTTATAGACACATCTTCAAAGAAAACAAATAGATGGCCGACAGGCATATGAAAAGATGTTCATCAACTTTTGTTATTAGGAAAATGCAAAGCAAAACAAAAATGAGCTATCACCTCATATCTGTGATAATGGTTATTACCAAAAAGACAAGAAACAAGTGTTGTCAAGGATGTGGAGAAAAGGGAACCCTCACACAACCCTCACACATTGTTGGTGAAATGTGAATTGGAGCAGTCATTATTTGTAATGCAAATCAAAATAAAAATGAGGTATCACCTCATTATCTGTGATAATGGCTATTATCAAAAGACAAAACAAGTATTGGGAAGTATGTGGAGATGTAAATTGGTGCAGCCATTATGTAAAGGAGATTCCTCAAAAAATTAAGAACATAAATACTACCTGATCCACCTATTTTATTCCTAGGTACTTGTGTGAAGAATTTAGAAATACTAAATCAGAGACACATAGGTTCCTCCATGTTTATTGCAGTATTATTTACTATAGCAAAGTTATGGAAACAACATAAGTGCCCAACAGCAGGTGAGTGGATAAAGAAGATTGGTATATACACACAGTGGAATACTACCCAGCTATAAAAAAGATGAAATTCTGTCCTTTGCAACACATGGATGGAACTGGAGAATGTAAAACTAATTGAAATAATTGAGATGGAGAAAGACAAATATTGTATTATTTCACTCATATGCAGATAGAGAAACAAAATGAATGAACAAAACAGAACAGAAACAAACTTTTAGACTATAAGAACAAACTAGAGGTTACCAGGAAGGAGGAAGAGGGTTGGATAAATTGGGTAAAGGGGCTCAACTGTATGGTGATGGATAGAAGCTAAAATTTTTGTTGATAAAAAATGTAGCCTGTGCAGATGCTGACTTTCAAGGCTGTATACATGAAACCTATATAAAGTGGAAAAACAATGTTACTTCAATGAAAAAAAAAGTTCTCAAGTAAAGGTACTGACTTGATTTTTTTATACTTTATTTCCCCCCAAAGAATAACCAAATAACTATTTTATGGTCACTTATCACATTATATTCTAAATATTTATTTAATGATCTTCACTGGGTAGTACTCCAGGAAGGAAACATTTACTTGTTTTGAAACATTTATTCATTCCTGGAACTAATTGTATTATAATTGGGATTCTAAAGAAAGAAGAGTTCCCATAGGTAAATAGCTTTGCATAGAAAATGTGTTGCTGTTTTGTTAAAATGGTAGCAAGCACAATAAAAATTTGGGACTTTTGTGTAGTTGTTGTGGTTTGTTTTGTGCTCCTAAATCACACAAGTAACCGCAACACAGAGGGAATTTCTGCAGCAATATTTGTCAATTTGGGATAGATTTCCCCTTGGTTGGATTTTCAATTTTTTTCTACTCCCTTTGGGCATATTGTTAATAGTTCATTTTATGTGCCAATGTGGCTGGACTACACTGCCCAAATATTTAGTCAAACATTATTCTAGATGTTTCTATGAAAGTTTTTTTGGGTGAGATAAATCTTTAGTAGGTGGACTTTGAGGAAAGCAAATTATCCTCCATAATGTGGGTGGACTTTATCTAATAAATAAGGACCTTAACAAAACAAAGACTGATCTTACCCAAGAGGAAAGAACTCTACCAGCAGATGGTATTTGTATTCCAACCCCGTCTCTTCCCCAAGTCTCCAGTAGCTGGTCTGCCCCATTAGATTTTGGATTTGCTCAGTCTCCATGTTTGTCTAACATCCAAGCCTCACTGTAGTATCTGAGCAAATCTCCTCTCATTAACTTCATAGGTATTTGATTTATTTAAGAGGGTTATAACAAATAACTAATACTGGCTGGAAATTCACTCTTCTAAACTTTTTCCTCTTCCTAAGACATAAATCATGATAAATGAGCAGCACACATATAGGATGGCCACAGTGAGGGATGACATATCTAAATAGAAAAGACTAGGGAGGGCCTCCCTGGTGGTGCAAGGGGTTAAGAGGCAACCTATGAAGCTTGCCACAGCTACTGCAGCACGAGTTCAATCCCCAGCTAGGGAGATACCCACATGGCGCAGTAGACCTCTCCTGACTCACCTGCTGCTCCCCTCAGCAGTATATTTCAGTCGATCTTCCTGTTCTATTCCCCACTCTGTCTCTGGTGGACCCTCTCACCCCCCACAACTCAGGCCTGTACCCCAGTTCTTGTATGTATAAATAAATAAAATCTTTAAAAAAGAAAAGACTAGGGAAGTAAATCAACTGGGTCTTTGTACAGATGTGGTTTCACAGAATGACATGTGTCACTGATATACCCAAGTGACAAAATGATCAGAGTCATACAAAGCAAAACAGAAAAGCTATAGCTTACCCCTCGAAGCAGTGGGCAACTGTCAGAACCCACTTCTTGGCGATGAGAACGCAGCCACAAATGTGTCCACTGGGCTCACTCTGCAGGGAACACTGCCATGGCCATCTTCCGGGCCGACTCGTCCGACCCCCGAGGATCCTCTTGTTCATTCGGGCAGCAGGGCGGTGCCCACAGTCTACCAAGGAACAAGAGTGTGTAACCTACCCCCCAACCTAAATGCTAGCTATTGACTGACCCAGACAAGAGCTCATTTTCCCCCTGAGCCAAACCAGTTAAATTCACGTCTTATCCCACTATCAGACCACTCATTCTCACCTTGTTTAGTACACAGAAGAGAAATCTTACTTCTGCTGTGACAAGTCTGCCTAGATGTGGGAACATAAAATGGCATAATATTAAGTTACATATTTATTGTTCACTTCAAACACTTTATGACTGAGAACAAGACATAGATTCAACTGCTCCTTGTACCAATATTCTTACTGCAAGGATTCACCAGGAAGGACTATCGTGTATTTTCTTTCAGGTTATTTCATATCATCATCACATAATTTCATCACATTTATGGAAAGAAACAGTGTGGTTGGCAAAGTTTCCCACATTATTTTGGCTGGTGTTAACCAGAATGTTGACTCAAACCTTGATTCTTAAAGTAGGAAGAGAACTGGAGAGAACTGGGTGCTTCTAAGAATCTATGATGAGGAGGAAGCATGTCAGATATTCTTTTGCTCATGAAAAAGGTGCACATGTCCAAAAAGACTTGAAAAATAATTTGAGATAAATGAAATAATTAAAATAGTCCTTAAAAAATTAAAGAACAGGTAAAGGAATTGACTAGGCTAGAAAAGAATCTGAGACTTTTGATATTAAAATGTGGTTCTGTGATGCAGTGTAGAAAAAGGGGGAACTAGAGTTATTCCTTGCAATTCTACATGGCTGGATCAGAACTTTTTAGATAGACTTTTTAGAATGTGTGAGTTCAGGAAAGGAAGAACTTGCTAAAGTTGGAGTTAACCTTTGAAGACAAGAACATGGGCCATGTTTAAACATCTATTGTGTGGCTGCACAGAACAATTCAGTTTAGAGTATGTTAAATTTTAACCACAAAACTCTCTTCCAATCAAGACGCATTTATACACAATATAAATTTTAAAAGTAACCATGATGGGACTCTCATGAATACTGTGATATACTTAGAATCTTAGATCTGTCAGAAAAAGACTATCCATCTTTAAATATGTCATTTTCATATTACTTTTTAAAGATTTACTGTATTTCTGGCTTTTGTTAATTTGCATGGGGATGAGATATAACTATTTGTATGCAATAAATTATAAAATCCAGAAAGTGCACATTTGCTTTTTTGTCTTCCCATCATCTAAAGTGATGTCTCTTCCTTACTCTCTATTTCCTCATCCTGAATTTCTGTGTAACTTGACACAGAAGATATACTCACTAATTCATTGTTATTTGTGGATGCCCAACTCATAGCTTTTAGGAATAGGAAAAGACATCAAGTATGATCCTTTCCAACTCTATTTTATAGGAAAAATAGTCATAAAAAAATCACATATCTAGTTAATAAGCCAGGACCAGACCCAGTTCTACTATCTGCAGTTGAGGATGATGTTTGTTTAACCTGAAAAATCCCAGTTTGGGGAAACACACCACTTTGTGGAAAAATTCAGGTCATTGTTTTGCAAGAAGTAATTCAGTTGACAAATATGAAGACATTCTAAAATGAAATGGACCACCTCCGGTTTTCTCTTGGGAACTCTTAAGTGGTGGCTTGTCTAGCATTTATTAAAAACTTTGACAAAGATAAACTTGTTTAGATTTCAGACACTGTTAACTATCCTTGGGCTGTAAGTTTTGAACAAGTTATTTAAATATTCTATAGCTATATTCTTTTGATCTAATAAACAGCAAGTGCCAATTGCCTCAATTCATCTTCCTTCAGCACCCTACCCATAGATAAGGGGGCCAGCTTTGAATAAGGGGCCATGGTGTTTTAGGAGAAATTATTTTGAGAAGTGTGCTTTCAAGGCTACTTGTTATAACTTGTTTCATTTTGTGTCTATTTTTTTCCCTCTGGCTCCTCAAGGTTTATCCATTGTCATTATCCAATTCCCTCTCTTGACTACTTCCATGTGTTATAAATACAAATATGCAATTTATTTTAGGTAGAATATAAAAAGACTCCAAAATTATAATCTAAGGTTCTACTCCTTCACCATGGCAATTTGTATAATCATCATTAAAGAAAATGTAATTAGTCAAGAGAAAAACATCTAGGTTTAGAAAGAATAAAACCAAATGATGTTAAATTATAATGGCCAGTAGCCATTCTGCAAAAGCCCTTATGGATATAACCAATTTGGATTACTGTAAATTAGAAACAGAAGAAAGGCCCTAATGATAAACTACTCTTGTTCCACAATCCATTATCCACAGCTCTGGTGAATGGTGTCTTACCCTTTTACTAGCAGTTCATGCAAAGTGGTCCCATTGAGGCTCTCCCAGTTGGGGTGTAATGTCAACCACTGCGGGTCTTGCATCTGTTCCTGTATCAGTTTGGTCACAGATGGCTCCCTGATAGAAGGGCAAATCCCAGATAAATATTCAAAGTACCATGCTAGTTGACCCCACATTATCATTATTTAGCACTCATTTTCTTTCAAAAAGAAAAATAACATCATAAATCACTATTTCAAGAGGAAGATTTGTATTATAAATTTGGCAAGAATAAAATCAGCAAGAGGGGAAGTTACTCAAAGTATACCAAAGTAAAAAAGATTCAAAGTATTACAGCTGTTTTGGTCATTCTCTCTGCTGCCATGTATTTGAACTTCAGGAGGTGTTAGAATTCCAATGAATACAATGTAAAATTTCCAGTAACTAAAAAGCGGGAGCAACTTTAGGCAGGGATCAACAGTAAAATAAAAATAAAAGACAATGGCCATGTATTATCTATTCAGATAGTATAAAAATGTAATGGATATTTTCAACTTACTGCAAAATCTTTATGCACTGAAAGTTAGTCTGGAAAGTAGACAGGGACTAGACAACATTATTTTGCTCTGTACCTATATTCTCACTCAACCTCCACCAATACTTTCCTGTGAATGTCTCAGTCATTCAAATAAATATGTTTACACTGTATCTAAGATCGAAAACCTAGATTTTGAAAGTATTTAGATTTTTATATAAAATATGCCATGAAATAATTGGTTCTTTTAAGCAAATTCATATTTGAAGAAAATCTTTTGGATTTTCTTCACCTGATCTATTGGGTAGAAGAGAGAGAGGTTAGTTTTAGACAAGAGGAAGGAGGGCTTCTCTAAGCCTGAAAAAAAAGATGCAGATACTTTTCTGGAGTTGGAGAAAGGAAAAAGATTTCCTAAGAATTAAAATCAAACAGCTTTACTTTTCTTTTTAAGTTGGAAGTGGGCTCTTTGGATGAAAGTTGTGGGTGGCAGAGGTACACCATCACCTCATCACCATGAGGAAAGTGACTTATATTTGGAATTGCTCCCTTGTGGATGGATTTAGAGAAAGATATCCAAGATAACTTAGGAAAATGACCAGAAGCATTGGTTTCAAATGAACCTGGAAATCTCAAAGTTGTAGCATCATCAAATTTACATGCTTAGTGACTCTTTTTTGAACATGGGATGACATTTTTTTGAGGGAAAAACTGGGGAGCACAGAAAGTGGAAAAAAGTTACTTTTGGTGTCATAAAAGAAAATAATCATTTCACTTGATTATTAGTTACTAAAAAACCATCATGCTCACATAGTAGAAGTAGAGGGACAATTGGAGTTTTCTCAATTTTATGATCCTGTGAAACACAGTTCTCACAGACTGCTAAAGAATTAAATGACATCAATGATGATGATTCAATCTATCACCCCAAGTGGTGGCCTCTTACACTTTGATTTTGTTGGGTGCCACTAAAATCAGGGTAGTGGGATGTTAACAGAATTAACAATAAATTACTTGTTCATCAAAAAAAGCCTCTCCCAATTGTTACTTTTAATAAGAAATATACTCTCCAAAATCATATGTAGTATGGGAAAGCAATGTGACCTCAATAAAAAAGGAGAAAACCCTCTAAAGAGAACACTTATTGACAGAATGAAAGCCAAAGATTAAAACCAAGTCCTTAATAATGAAAAAATTCTAATCATTTGATTTCAAAACAAAGAGTATAAGCCCTGACCATGCTTTAGGAAGAGTTACACAGGATTTAAATTTATTTAGAACTTGATTAAACTTAGATTATTGAAGACTTCACAAAGCTTACTGCAAAATAGAATGTATTAATATTTTTCCTCAAGCCAAATGAGGATCTTCCCACAAGGGCTGTATATAGAGGCATAGTGAGATGAAAAGTATAAAAATCAGAGGCCACACACATACTCATGGCCTTTTATCTGACACCTGTACGCTGAGAATTCCATTCTGCAGCAGAAAAACCTGCAGGCTCCTTCATCCAGGCATTTAAGTGGCAAAAAGCCAAAGGAAATCAGCTGTGAATTTGCTGTTTAATAAAGTCATTCTTCAGGCCAGTATTCACAGGGCAACAAAGGCTTTGCACCAGGAGGGCAATTCAGCATAGGATTTGCACTGGTGATCAATAGAGAAATCACTGCAAAGGACACTTCAGTCTTTCAACCTGCAAGACTCTATCTGTTACCCCGAGGGAGAACTCAGAACACTGCACATGAGATGCTCTTGCATTTCATTCATTAGCCTCCAACAAGAAAAGCAATTTACCCTGAATCTCTGTTATATCAAGTGGAAAATCTAAAAAATTCATCAAGAAGTGGGAAGTGTCATTATAAAAATTAGTTTTCCATGAAATTTTTAAACACCAGCATGCTTCTCTTGCACAAACATAAATCTTTCAGTGCTAGAAATGTCATCCTATGGCCCATTTTAAAAAATATCAGTGAATTGCTGATTTGGAATTGAATATCAGGGCCTCCCTGATAGCACAAGGGGTTAAGCATCACACTATGAAGCAATCTGCAGCCTCTGCAGCATGAGTTCCATCCCCCGCTGGCCAGAGAGGCAGACCTCTCATGACTCACCTGCTGCTCCCCTCAGCAGTATATTTCAGTCCATCTGCCTGTTCTGCTCCCTAATCTGTCTTTGGTGAAGCCTCTCACCCCTCTGCATCTCTGGCCTGTACCCCAGCTCTTGTATGAATAAATAAATCTTAAAAAAAAAATCAGTGAATTCACATGGTTTTCTTTCTGCCATCATACAACATGATTTTAAATTTTCTTGTTTTCTTTAAATATTAAAAATTATAAAAGTAATAGTCATGGAAAAAATATCAAAAATTAGTGAAAAAATAGTCTTCCCATGCCAAATGTGGAGAAGCAACCACTGTACATATTTGTGTATCTTTATCAAGTTTTTCTTTAATTCATGTATATATGCTCCTCTTTTTTTATTATTTTTTTAAACTAGACATTTATTGCTTGACTAATTGTTGAAATCCTTAAGATGAACTGGATGCTACAACAGCTGCCCTCCTGGGCTTAGGTGCTGTTCCTCACAGACTCCAGGCCTGAATACACGATAAACGACTTTTAGGTGCCTCATTCTCCCACTGCCCGTGATATTTCGTCTTTTAGACTTTGTCCTCCACTCACACTCTCTTTCGCTGGCAGGGCAGGCATATCCCCCGAAGGTCGACTTCTGAAGCTTGGAGGTCTTACTGCGCTGCGGGATGGCGCCTGTGCTTTGTCTTGTTGCTGTGCTTTGCAAATGATGATGTTCCCTTGTCCGCCAAGACCAAAGTGGGTGGCAGGGAATGTCTTACTCCCCTCTTTTTCTTTTTTTTTTCCTTCTGGCTTGACTTTTTTCCCATCTTTAATTTTTTACATCACTGTTCATTTTTAAACAATATTTGCTTCCCCTCACCCCCTCAAGTGTAGTCCCATAGAGTTTCCTTCACCAATGTACCCATGAACCGTCATCACCTCAGTCCCCTGTGCTACTCCCCCTTTTTTAGTGCAGACGTACTGTTCTGTGTGGTGCTGACATTTTCATTAATGATTTGTCTTGGAAGTATTCCATAATAACAATAGTTAGTATTTGTTGGCTATTTTCTAATTGTCAAACAAGAAAAGACTAACCCATTTGATCTTAATCTTCTCAACAACTTTGAAGTGTTATATTATTATTCCTTATTCTAGAGATTAATAAAAAATTGAGGCAAAGAACATGAATAACTGGCCTGAGGTCACACAGTGAGTAAATGACAGAGCTGGTATTTGAGTCCCTGTGGTCTGGTGCGAGGTTACCAGTCCTAACAGGGAAACTACATGATCCTCATTCCTTAACATTATAACCATGCTCTTTCCACAACTGCGTCAAGTTTCATTATAGGGATGTACATACATTTACTTAACCAAGTCGTCATTACTGATGAACATGTAAATTGTTTCCAACTTCTGGCAGTAACAAAAAAGAAACCACTCACTTTTTCCTGTGTACAGACATATGATTTTAGAATAAATTCCTAGAAATAAAACTATGGAGCCAAAACTTAAACATTCAATGAATAGTATGAATTTCCCCTTCAAAGAATAATGCCATTTTGCAAACTCATCAAAACTGTGTGCATCTAGACTTTTTAACTTTTATAACTATGCATATAAATCATGTTATAAAAATTATCTGTAATTTCATAGTTGTTCAAATGTTGTTTGACAATAGCTAATGCAGTTGACTTAACATCTTTTTCCAAATTATATCAAGTAACAAATTAAAGAAATCCTTCTGGGTAGAGAGCAAAAGAGCAAAAAACATTTTGTCAGTTAGTAAATCACTGTATTCTAAGACAGTTGTACAGGGAAGACAAGCAGACCTAAATGCTTTTATAACAGTTACAGAATCATATACTGAGAAGGAAGTTGAAGCAGTGATATAATCCAGTACCCCTTGAGAAAAGTGAGACCCAGATACAGCCTCATCTCAAACCTCTGTGGGGCTGACAGCAAGAGTGCAAATGGAGGCCCACACATAGTATCTCTGCATATTTAAATGTTCTACAGTTGACAAGATGTTAAAGAAAATATATACTATCATACTTTTTACAAATATTATCTTTTAGGTTCAAATATAGAATTCCTGGATTCCTTAGAACAGTGGTTTTCAAACTTTAGCCTTTATCAGAATCACCTGTTGGACCTGTTAGAACAAAAACGGTTGGCTCCATGCCCAGGTTTCCTGATTTGCTAAGTCTGAGATTGAGCCCCAAAAGATGCGTTTAACATGATCCCAAGTGACCCTGATGCTTCTGGTTTGGGATCACATCCTGAAAACATTGATCTAGAATAGGGACCAGGCTCCAGGTGGGCATAATTCCTTGACGTTCTCTTCCCCATAGGGTGAGGCATGGCTGGAAGAGGAGGACCAGGATTGTCCCACCAAGTTTTGATTTTTCACTTTGGGCACTATTGACATTTTATACCAGATGATTACTTGCCATGTGGGGCTATCCTGTGCACTGTTTAGAATCATCCCTGGCTTCTACAAACCAGATGCGAATAGCACCTCACCACTCCTAGTC